TTTTCCTCTGGTGTTGACAAGTACCTGCATATACATCACCCCCATACACATATGTACCCCCATACACATGAACACACACTTACAAAGAAAGATACAAGGCCCTTGGGAAGTGGATAGGATTAATGTCATCATGTCATCAGGCAGAGTCCCCATGATTGAAACTGGAGGCTTTATAAGAGGGAGAGAAACACGCACACACACGCACGCACACACACGCACACACGCACACACACACACACACACACACGCACTCGCACTCACACGCATCCACTCCCATCTAGATGTGAGCCCTTAAACTTCCACAACTGAGAGCTAAATAGCCACTTTTCTTTACAAAGCTACCCAGCCCCAGACACTTCAACATAGTGGAGCACAAAAAGAGAGGGGACAGTTTGGGGAAGCTCTGCCCAAGCATGTCTGTAGGGAGGGGTGGGTGTGGAGTTTATATGAAAGTTTAAGGAAGCTGGCTGCTTAAGAGACTACTTTTTATGTGTTTAACAGACCATCTTGTCATTTGGGGTAACAACCTATACTCCTTTATCAGTGCCTGGGGACCTGCCAGACCCTGCTTGGGTTCAAGCTGCTGAGAGAAACATGAGCACAGAGAGGTCAAGGCACTCGGGGTACTCTGGGGGGCTCTGCACTGGTGTTTGACAATGGAAAGACAAAGGGGTGTTTGTGTGGCTCCACGCAGAAGCATGGGTGGGTCTTAAAAGCGCAGCTAGTGAAAATATAAGAAGCAAAATGAAGTAAGGGCACAACATCACTTCCAGACATTGAAAGTGCAGAAATGAGGTGATCCATACAATTTTAAGCAGTAACAGCTGTTCAGCCTTGTCAAGACACTGACAGGATTCCTCTGACTCATTTCCATCCCACATAGGACCATGTTAGCCTTTCATGGGCCCCTTTCTCCAGAAATAAAGAGTAAAAATTGCATTTTTATTATTGTATTGGTAGAAAGACAAATGTGATCTAGGATACTCATAATTACATATTGGTTGTAATTATTTTTCATTCTGAGTGTGTATGTTTGTGTGTATATGCATTTATGTATATATGTATATGTGTGTGCTTATGTGTATTTGTGTTTGAGTGTATGTGTATGTGTGTGTTGAGTGTACATGTGTGTAGGTGTATTTGTATGTCTAAATGTATGTAGGTGTACGCGTGTCTATGTGGTATGTGGTATGTATGTATGTATGTATATATGTGGGTTTATGTATGTATGTGTGAGTCTGTGTGTTTGTGTGTGTATGTGAAAGTGTATGTAGGTGTGCATGTGAATGTGTGTGTTTTTATGTGTGTATTTGTGTGCATGTGTATGTATATGTATGTGTGTGAGAATGTATTCATGTGTGTATAGGTGTGAGTGTGTGTGTGTGAGTGTATGAGTGTGTATGAGTGTGTATTTGTGTATGAGTGTGTATGAATGTAGTGTGTATATGTATGTGAATGTGTGAGAGTATATGCATGTATGTGTATAGGTTTGAGTGTGTGTATGTATGTGAGTCTTTATGTGAGTTTGTATGTGTGTGTGAGAGCGTATGCATGTGTGTACACAGGTGTGTGTGTGTGTGTGTGTGCATGTGTATCTGTGAGTCTGTGTGTGTGGTGCTGAAGAGCAAAATCCGTGATCTCTCACTGCCTGGGCAAGTACTCTAGGTCCCACACTGGCTTCCAGCTGTCTTGGTGAAGGCTGCATTCCTGTGTGGCAGGGCAGGGCACTTGACAATGCTTAACCATTGACTTTCTGAGAGGAGCCCTGTGCATGTCTGTACTATAAATAATCCAGTCTGTTTTAACTCTGACATCCCTGGATGAAGTCCGAAGAAGGAAGTAGCTGCCTGTTACACCCACTGCACAGCACTGGCAGCTAAATCACCTCAAGTGTGCAGAGAGAATAGTCAAACTAGGAAGTGAGGAGCTTTGAGCACTTACTGCTTTCGTTTTTAATATAATTACTTCTTCCGAGGCTTTTATCATGTGATTTTTAATAATGCTCCTTGACAAATGGTCATTTGTCCCTGGAAGCTTAGCTGTCAGTTCTTGCATGCTGGTACTCCACTGTGCCAGCACACCAAGGCTGTGGGGCAGGGGAGGAGAGACACTGGGCAATCACAGGAGACTACATTTCCCAGAAGCCTCCTCTCCCAAGGCCTGCCCTCAGTTGTTACCATGGAGATGACTAACAGGTAGTAAGGCTGTTCTTGGAGGGTAAGGAGAGCACTCAGGACTGGGGGTGGCTGGACCCGGCCTGGGATGGGGAGAAGGAGGAAAGGGGCACAAGGGGCTTCTGCTGGGTCCTCCAGCCCTGGCACTTCTGGAGAAGTTGAGGGGTTATTTGGTGGGAAGGAGGAGGTTGCTGCTGGGGGGTACAGAAAGGCCTGTGGGTAGATCAGTAACTGAGGAAGTAGCCTTCCTGGATAGTGTGGCAGGTCTGGCCCTTTCCTGCTCCACCTCTAAAGACCAAAGTCTGTGACCTTGAGCTCAGGGTTGGGCTCAGACTTTCCCACCCGGCTTATCTCTTCCCTTGCTCACCCATGTCCCACTCACCTTCCCTTCAAGGACTCTCCTATCTCACATGGGTTTTGGAACCAGAAATATGTAGGTTCTAATCAGAGATCTGTCCCCTACTAGCTGTGACCTGGGGTGATTCTCTTAGGCTCTCTGGGCCTCAGTTTTCTCACTTGCAGTATGGGTCTCATAGACCACCTCAGAGTCGCTCTAGGATAAAGCAAGTCGTTTCTGTGCAGCTCCAGAGCTTGGCACACAGTAGAGGTCTAGTGAGCTGTGAGCATCTTGGAAAGTCTCTACTGCCTCCCTGGTTTGTTCTCCCTGTGCCCAAGAGGCAGGCAAGAGGATCTGATAATCAGGCCATGCTGCTTGGCTGGCCGTCTGGCCCCAGGGAGCAGGGGTCCTGAATGGGCCTGCTGGACACACAGCCTCAGCTGGGATATGGATGCACCTCAGACTCAGGCAGACTGACCTGCAGCCACAGGCATGCTCTGCCCTTCCTAAGCCTCAGAGCATAGGACACCAGAATTGTTCAGGAAATGCCTCTGTTTTTCACAGTGCAGAAGGAAACTGAGGCCAGAAAGGAGGAAGGGGTAGCCTGAAGTTCTCTGCAGGAGCTGCTTGGCAGGGCCAGCCAGGAGAGTAAGTTTCTTCATAGGTAGGATCTGTCTGGACTGGTACACTGTTTCTACTTCCTCGAGAGGTTGGGGCAGTCTGGTAGGGGTGGAGTGGGGAGGCAGGGTCAGCCTTGACCTACTGTTCCCCCACCCTGCCCAACTCCCACTTATTTTGAGGTTCTAGAGATGAAACCCAGGGCCTGGTGCGCATTGGGCAAGCATACTACCACTCAGCCCACCCTCCTGGTCCCCTTTGCCTCTTAGTCTTAAACTCCACTCTAGGAGCTGAGGGATACCCCCCACCCTGGCTCCTGCCTGCAACCACCTCCAGTGGGTTGGGGTGCTTGCCTGCCTGAGAAGTATACCTGAGAGGCAGGTGGTGGAAAAGTCTGAGCTGGGAAGTGGACAGACAGGTGGGTTGACTGGAATGATGTGGGGCAGCCCAGTATGGAGTACACGCAGAAGTGAAGTTTTCACATGCATTAGACGTCTGGAGAGGGATACTGGAGGTATCCCGAGGGACCCGGCTCCCCACCACTCCCCTCTACTGTCCCTAGCAGACAGCATTGATGTTCCCAAATGGCCCTCACTCACTCATGGTTGCATTTCCTCCCACTTGGTGTGAGTGTCCCAGGCAGGAAGAGGACAGGGAACCAAAGCTGTGTGCCAGCTGCCCTCAGCCATCTAATGGTCCCTCTGCTCACATCTCAGTGGCCAAAACTGGGCTATATCCTAGGCTAGCCCTCTCTGCCAAAGAGTCCAGAAAGTTGGACACTTTGAACCTGACAACTTGCTGCCCCAGTTCAAACTGGGACTCTGTGGTGTGGTGTGGTGTGGTATGGTGTGGAAGGGGGTGAAGTTTGGGGTTGATGATCTACAGCGTGCCTTTAAGGCCTCAGGCCAGCCCTTCCCTGGGCACATGAGCACACATAGTATGTCAATGTGAGTCACAGGACAGTGACTGTCCTCTGGGCTGTCACCCCCCCTACATGCCTTAGTGTCAGCCCTGACCTTGCAAGCTCTGTATCAGTTTCTAGTTTAGTGACATGAGATCTCATTCACTTGCAACCTTTGTTTGCGGGGGCGGGGGCGGTTATTTGTATTGCCATGCTATTTTGAATAACTTTCTTTCTTTTTCTTTTCTTTTTTTTTCTTTTTGAGACAGGGTCATTGTATTGCCATGCTATTTTGAATAACTTTCTTTCTTTTTCTTTTCTTTTTGTTTTTCTTTTTGAGACAGGGTCTCGCTGTAGCCCCAGCTGTCCTGGAACTCACTATGTAGACCAGGCTGGCCTCGAACTCACAAAGATCCGTCTGCCTCTGTCTGCCTCTCAAGTGCTGAGATTAAAGGCATGTGCCACCTGGCCCTGAATAACTTTCTTTAAGAGGTCGCTTACTGAACGTCACAAATGTAGCTATCTAAATGGGAAACTACATATTCAGCAACTCCTATAGCATTAGTGTCACTTGTCAGAAAGAGAAGGTAGCTATTAAAGTCACATTAGTAACTCTGAGCCACCTGACACCTACCTTTGTCAGGTGTTTTTTGAGACAGAGTCTCTCTAGGCAGCCCAGGATAGTCTGGTACTTGTGATCCTCCTACCTCATCCACTTGTGTTAGGATTACAGGCATGCCACCATGCCTGGCTCCTTGTCTTTGCTTTAAGAGAGATTTGTGTTAGAGGGTGTCACAGACAGCGTAGTGCCAGAGACTTTCTCCCTGAGGGAAGGGAAGTACTTTATCCTGTATGAGGAAAAGCATCTCTGGGCCCCTGGCATGCACTGACGGTTTTGGCAGCCCCTTGATGGCTGACTAACCATTCAGAGTGTATATGCTGTTCCCTCCAGCCAGCCAGAGACGCCAGGATGGAGGTCCTGAGGGAGAAAGTGGAGGAGGAGGAGGCAGCGGAGCGTGAGGAGGCGGCTGAGCAGGCAGAACATGCTGAAAAGATGGAGAGGATGGTGAGGCTGGCCGAGGTGAGCAAGGAGGAAAGGATCCTGACCCAGGATGAACTCCGAGATCTGGAGAAGAAAATGATGGCTGTTGAGATCCCCATCCCAGCTGAGCGCCCGTGAGTACTGGGACGGGGGCTCCCCAGCCAGCAGCTCTGGTATAGTCAGAGAAGACAGGAAGAGCCAGGCAGAAGAGTAGCACCTGGGCCAGGTCATAGAGGGAGGCAGTTAAGTGTGAAGGCTCTGCTTCTAGACTGCCCCATCTGAATCCCTGCTCTACCTCTCCCCTGGCTGTGTCATCTGGAACAACTCACTCAACTTCTGAGCCTCCATCACTTTATATGTGTAAAAGTGAAAGTGGTACTAGTGGTATGTCCTGGATGTAGTTGTGAAATTTAAATGATGAAGGGGTAGGGTCAAAGGCAGCTTAAGTATGTATATTGTGGGGTCCTGGGGTGCCAAGCATGGCCTCACTCAGATTGCTACCATGCCTGCTGGGGTACAGGATTATAAACAAGGCCATCATTGACGTCAGCAAGCTGCCTCCTTCCTACACCACCAACTCACCCAAGGAGGAACACCTGTTGCAAGTGGCAGACAACTTCTCCCGCCAGTATAGCCATCTGTGCCCCGACCGTGTGCCTCTCTTCTTGTACCCACTGAATGAGTGTGAAGTTCCTGTAAGCCTGGGGCTTGGAGAACAGGACCAGGGCAGGGGCAGAGGGCAGAGGGAGGCATGCTGGGTTCTCTACTGTCTCTGGGCCACATCACAGCTCTCCTATGGGACAGAAGACTCTGGTGAATCAGCCCTGGCTTCTCAGGGGCTGGAGGAGGCTCAGCCTACTGCAGGGGAATGAAGGCCTGGGATCAGAATGGGAAGCTGGAGGTGGAACCGAGGACCTAACATGCTAGACAAGCACGCTGCCACTGAGCTACATCCAAACCCTCTTTTTAGCTTTGACTTTGAGACAGGGGTTTCCCAAGCTGTCCAGACTAACCTTGAACAAGCTGTGACTTTCAATGCTGACAGCTAACCTGCTAGGAGTCCCCACTTGCCTGTATGGACCCAACCTGTGGTACTCCAGGTATAGATGGGGGAAACTGAGCCCAGAGGGGCTCAGGAAAGTACCCATGGCCATGTGGAGGGAAAGAAGTCAGTGCCAGTCACTGACGTATGCTCTGGCCCACTTTGTCCTGGTGCTCTGCCCTTCCTGGAGGGGAGGCTTCCCTATCCACCAGCTGCCTCTGCCCAGAACCTCTGCAGGCTCTGTGAAGGCCTCACCTGGTTGGAGATGTGCTTCCTTTAGCCCTGACTTGCTGGGTGGTATGAGGCAGCTTACTTGGCCCCTCTGAGCCTAGAAGGAAGGGATTCTTCTCGTTCTCCTAGCCCAGATCTAGAGCAAGCTTGTGCTATCCTGATGGAGTGATGTGCTGGGTGCTTCCTGGTCACCTCCACTGACCTCCACCTTCTCTGTCACCTCCACTGACCTACCCCAGACCTTCCCAGCAAGGGGCTGTGCTACCACCCTGGGGCCTGTGGGCCTGGCCTCTTCAGAGTCCCCCTGAGGATTTGAGGGGGGACCTGGTCCAGGCACAGACTGTGAAAGGTGCCTGATGTACACATCACCATTTCTCCTCTTACAGAAGTTCGTGAGTACTACCCTCAGGCCCACGCTGATGCCCTACCCTGAGCTCTACAACTGGGACAGCTGTGCCCAGTTCGTATCTGACTTCCTCACCATGGTTCCCCTGCTCGACCCTCTCAAACCGGTAAGCACCACTTCCTGTCTGCATCATTAAGCTCAGCAGGCCCAAGATGGGAGGCCAGGTAGGTCTGGGAGAGGAGGCTGTAGATCTTCTAAGATGCCTATGAGGGAAAAAGCAAAGAGAGGGATAGCCACTGGCCTAAAGGTACACAGCAAGCCAGGTCCCTGATTTGCTTGTTTCTGCCACACTCTTCTTTTTGTATTTCAGGAGGTGTGGCAAGGTGCTGGGTGTATCAAGCTGCCTGTGGCCTTCGGCCCCACCTTTGGGCTTCTGAAAGGCTCAGTCAGGTTCTCAGGGAGTATGAAGGGAGACAGGAAGACAGAGTAATAATGGACTATTGACAGAAGAGAGGAAGGATGGAGGAGAAAAGAAGGGGGTGTAGGACGAGTTTAAGGAACCACCCGCTCCTTAAAACAACAGGCATGTGTGGGTTGCATAGGATCTGTGTGCATCATGTTCTTAGGGGGCTTCTGACTCAGTAGGATCCCAGTGAGTGGTGATGGGGGCAGCGAGGGGCTGCTGGGCCTGACTGTACTGATGGGTGCACTGTGCTCAGCCCTTGTACCTGTATTCCTCGACCACGGTGCTCAAGCGCCAGAAAGGGAACTGCTTCGACTTCAGCACTCTGCTCTGCTCCATGCTCATCGGCTCTGGTTATGATGCCTACTGTGTTAATGGCTATGGCTCGCTGGACTTGTGCCTCATGGACCTGACACGGGAGGTGTGCCCACTCACTGTCAAAGCCAAGGAGGTATTCTCAGCACTGCCATGACAGCCCAGAGGAGGCACACTTCAGGGCTGGCCACATTCCTTAGAGGAGTGGGTTTCTATCCTGACCACCTTAGACATGAGAGTCCCTGCCCTAGTCATCCTTAGAGGTCCAGGTCCATGCACTGGTCACCCTTAGAGGAATGTCTTTGTCCTGACTGCCTTGGAGGTGTGGGTTCCTGACCCATCAGCATATAACCTCCATTGCCCTAGTCTCTATTTCAACTCCCTGCTGATTTCTGTCCTCAGCACCACCTACAGTTCAGTTCTCCAAACTGCTGTCCCTGTGTCTAGCTCAGTTTAAGCCACTGTGCTGGGTAAACTTTATGACTGTCACATGGTTTCTGCCAACTTTGGCATGCTTACCCACTTAGCCCGTTTATCTGATAGAAGCCCATCTGGTTATTTACACAGAAGGAAATAATGACCAGGAGAGTGCTTGACTCTCAACTTTTCCCCAACCAGGGTAAAAAGAACCCCTGCTTTTTTGTTCAGGGATGGAACCCGGAGCCTTATGGGTGCTAGGCAAACACACTACCCCAAGCTATAACCCTAACTAAAATAGGTTCCTTTTAATAAAAAACAAACAAACAAACAAACAAAAAAACACCAATTCCCTCCCTAGCAGTGGGTGATGATTGAGTTTTGGGTCTGCTGATTAAGAAACAACGGTTTCTGCAAACAAAAGAGGTTAATTAAAAAAAAATTTTATGTGTTTATTGTGCCTGTATGCATGCAAGTGCACCTGTGTCATGCAATGCCCATGGAGGACAGAAGAGGGCATTAGATTCCCTGTGTCTGGAGTTACAGATGGCTGTTAGCCTCCATATGGGTGCTGGGATTTGAGCCTGGATCTTCTACAAGAGCACCCACTCTTAACCACTGAGCCATCTCTCTAGCCCAATTTTTAAAGTTAGCATACAAAGTATTAAGCTTCATTAAGGCATTTTCATACATATTTGCATTAGACTTTGTTCTTAAGAAACCCTCTTAAGTGAGTGTTAATATCAGAAACACACACACACACACACACACACACACACACGCACACGCACACATACACACACACGCCTCTTTATGTTTGGAAAACAGCCATGCTGTGCACAGAAAGGGCTTTCCATACTCTAGTTGGATTTTAGGATCTGGGACAAGGGTCTGGCCCCCTACATGTCTGCAGCTTAAGGGTGGAGACCAGGGGCCTGAAGCACGGGCAGGAAGTCAAGGGAGAAGACAAGGGCCAGTCAGCCTGCTCACTTAGGCCCAGCTCCCCAAGCAAAGATGGGATGAAAGTGCTGCTGTACCTTTGCCTTGCACGGCGTCCGAGTCCACACCCCTGAGCTTCTTTTCTCGGCTGAAATTCTAACAATAAATTTATATCAGTAAGTAGCAAAGGTAGAGAACTTTCTGGATGATAAATTACTTTTACATGGACATGGATTGACTAGTACCTACTCACGGCAGCCCTGTGTGGTAGGTATTGTCATTACTGTACAAATGTGCACAGAGAGATGAAATGGCATGGCCAAAGGAAGGTGAGGTAACATGGCTGGAGCCACACAGAGGGAGGATAAGGACCTGGGGACAGAAGCCGGGGTTAGACTCCCAAGACTGGAGACTCCATTTCCATCTCATACTGTCACAAGCCTACTTCTTTAGCCCCTACAGATGTCTTTACTGGGGACATGGCTCACCATTTTTCACATGTTCATACATGCACACCCACATGCATAAAACATGTGCACATACTCATCCATACACTCATGCATACATACACGTGCTCACACTTCTATACACACAGGTTTTTATTTTCCTTCCTGGTCCAGCACACTTGAACTTTGAGTCAATATATGAAACACTCCAAGGGTAATCCCTGAAGACTCTGACTACAAGCAGTCTCTGCCCCACCTTTGGGCTGGGATCCAGATCAGCCAGGGCAGGAAGGTGGGGAATGAGAGAACTCTTACTCCTGATTTCCTGCACTATGGGGTTCCTGCAGGCAGTGTCCTGACTTTACCTAGGTGGGGAGGAGCACCTTAGTATTCTCAGCGCTGTGCATCCAGGCCAGATTAGGTGGGGAGAGAACCCTAGTTCTACTCCTAGATCCCCCAGCAGGCACTGTGGCTCGCTCTGCTGTCAAGGCTCAGAAGCCTGCAGGCTGCAGGAGCAGTGAGATGCAGGTCCCAGATAGCTCAGACTTTTGGACCCTGTGAAGGGTGTGGGTTGGAGTGGGTGGGGTGGGTGGGAGGCGGGGGTTGAACTTTCCGCTCTTGCTGGGTGACAGGTGGTCAAGAAGAAGGAAAAAGTGTCACCTAAGAAGTATGCCGTTAAGCCACCTAGGGACCTGACCAGCAGGTTTGAGCAGGAGCAAGAGGACAAGAGACAGCAGGAGATCCAGGCCCTGGAGAAGAAGAGGCTCAGGGAAGAGGAGGAGCACCTCCTGGTGGGTCCCCATGGCCCTGCACCTGAGGATGGCATGATCATGGTTCCCCAGGCATGAGATATGGCCTTTCTTAGGATTTATCAAAGGGCTCCTTACCCACAGAAAGCATAGCCTTTCTTTGGATGAAATCTCAGTACACACACACACACACACACACACACACACACACAGTCAGTCAGTCAGTCAGTCCCTGGCACTAGCACCCTAAGGAGGCCTTTCAGGGAACCACAGATCTGGTTGGACCCTCCAAGCTTACTGCTTGAAACTTGGGGGCTCAAGGAAAGGTGATAGAAAGAGAGTTCAGCTCTCCTGCTGTTCCCTATGCTCACAGGGCTGGCTGGACTCCTGGCCCCAGCTGGCTGATGGTCACCCAATTTCTCTGTTACAGGAGGCAGAGAAGTCAAAGCCTGATCCCTTGCACGGCCTGCGGGTGCACTCCTGGGTCCTAGTACTGGCAGGGAAGCGTGAAGTACCAGAGTGCTTCTTCATTGACCCTTTGACAGCTCGCAGTTACAGCACTAAGGATGATCACTTCCTGGGCATCGAGAGCCTCTGGAACCACAGAAACTACTGGGTCAACATGCAGGACTGTTGGAACTGCTGCAAGGTGTGTGGGGTGGGGAGGACAGAGATCAGGGATGGTAGTGGCTGAGGGGAACCTGGTCATCAGCCCATGAGAGCATCCTTCAGCATAGCTGTGTCCCTATAGACCATACCCTGGCCCACTAGTGACCATTTTGGCAGTTTATGATGTTCATTCTTTTAAATCATGAACTGATGGTTTGTGTGAATGAAATTTTTACAACTTTTTGTGGAAGTATAACACCAGTGCAGGAATATGTGTGCACACTAAGCACACTGCCCACTGATATCAGAACATGGCCCATACCTCAAAAATCCCTTTGTGTTCCCCACCATCCCAACTATGTAAATATGTTTTAAGTAAATAATTGGCACACACATGGGCTGGTGACATGGCTTAGCCGGTAAAGGTGCTTGCTACTAAGCCTAATGACCTGAGTTAGAGACCAGGGATCAGAATAGTGGAAGGAGAGAACTGACTCTTGCAAATTGGCCTCTGATCTTTCAACATGAGCCATAGCTGTCATACGTGCATGTGTGTGCACATGCACGTACCCGCACACATGTGCACACATCTGTGCACATACACAAATGTAAAAATAATATTAACTCAGTTGGGTGTGGTGGTACATGCCTTTATTCTGAGCACTAAGGAGGCAGAGGCAGGCAGATCTCTGTGAGTTCAGGGCCAGCCTGGTCTACATAGTGAGTTCCAGGGCAGCTAGGGCTACAAGGAGACCCTGTCTCAAAAAGACCAAAAGAAAACAACAACAACAACAATAATAATAATAATAATAAATGATACACGGGAGTATACAGAGGGGTGTGCAGTCTTAAGTGTACATCTCATCTGATTGTCACATGATAATGAACTTCCTATATAACCAGGACTAGCACCTCAGAAAACCCCATCCTGCCCCCCTCCTGTCCAGTAGGTGCTTAGCATGTACAGGCCCAGGGTTGATCCCCAGCACTACAAAAATGAAGAGAAATTCATTTATACAAACCAGCAACCTGCAGTTTAAAATGGTGCACAGGTTCAAAGGGACATGATAATCTTATCTGCCCAATTATTGATGGGTGAAGGTGTGGGCTGGTGGGCTCTACTAGGGGAATGAGCACCATGCTGACTTTTATTTTATTGTATTTTGTCTCTTTTTTAAAAATCTTTTTGAGACAGGGTCTCCCTGTAGCCCCAGCTGACCTGGAACTCACTATGTAGACCGGGCTGGCCTTGAACTCACAGAGATCCACTTGCCTCTGCCTCCCTAGTGCTGGGATTAAAGGTGTGAGCCACCACACCCAGCTCCATGCTGACTTTTAATAAGGTCCATAAGTCTCTGGTTTTGGATATTTTACCAATGGGATTTTAAAAATTATTTCAATTTTATCTGTATAATGTTTTGCCTGTATGCAAGTGCATTTGTGTCATGCAATGCTCATGAAGGCCAGAAGAGAAAGTCAGATCCCCTGGAACTGGAATTATGGACAGTCGTTAGCCTCTGTGGGTGCTGTGAACTGAATCTGGTCCTCTGTAACAGCAGCCAGTGCTCTCAACCTCTGGGCCATAATTTTACAGTATATATTATTTTTGCTTAGTCGTTGCTATGTTGTTATCCACTTTTACCCTTAGCAAAATTTTTGTTCTGATACCTATTTTGCAAGGCATAAATATGGGTTCTCTGACTTTCTTTTGATTTATGTTAGCATGGGCTATACTTCACTTGTTTAAAAACTCTATTTGTTGCCGGGCATGGTGACACGTGCCTTTAATCTAAGCACTTGTGAGTTTGAGGCCAGCCTGGTCTACATAGCAAGTTCCAGGTCAGCTGGGGCTACAGGGAGACCCTGTCTCAAAAAGAAATAAAAAAGCCTCTATTTATAGCTTTTAAATTTAAGGATATATTTTGGGTCTTTCTTTTTATCAATTTTGACAATCTCTGTTTCTTGATTGGGGTATTTAGCTAATTTACACTTACTATGATTATTGATAAAATTAAGTTTATGTCTATTAACTTTCTTTAAAAATATTTTATTATTTTATTTAAAATTTTATTTTTGTTTATTTTTTTATGAGTATGAGTGCTAAGCCTGCATGTATGTAAATGCCCCCGTGTTGTGTAATGCCCACAGAGGTCAGAAGAAGGAGTCTAATCTCCTGGAACTGGAGTTATGGATGGTTGTTAGCTGCCATGTGTGTACTGGGATTCGAACCCAGGTCTTCTGCAAGAGCAGCCAGTGCTCTTAACTGTTGAGTCATCTCTCCAACCCTGTCCATTATCAACTGCTCTAACTCTATTATCTTTCTATGTGCTTCCTCAAATTTGAAAGCATCATTATAACAATGTTCTGACATTGTATTTCTTATTTCCTTCTTGAATTTCTGTACAAGGCTCTTTTATTAGAGTTACTGTTTTTCGTGCTTCTTCTCTTTCTCTTTTGTTCTGAACTCTTTCCTCAATTATCTTCAAGGTCTTTCCTCGGCTGTGATTTATTTGTTGCTTAATTCTTCCATTGATATCCTTCCTTTTTCTCCTCCTCCTTTGCACTTAAATTCTAGAGTTATAATTTATTTGGCTTTTGTATTCTTACATAGTTTTCAGTTCTATGCCAAGATCTTAGCCTCATTTTTTGTTGATCCATTATCTAGATCCTCGGTGACTTTGTTTCTATTATCTTTAGTTTTGTGGCCTTGTGGTCTTGTTTCTTCATGTCCCTGGTATATGTGTGTATCCAGCCACATGTGTGCTACTAGACACCAAATATGACATTTTAAAAGAGATCATTGGATGCCTAGATGCTACAGTCTTCCTCCAGAGATGTTTGATGAGATTTCGGTGGAAAAAGAAGAGGATCTAACAATCCTGGGTCACTTTAACTGAGCTTTTTTGTCATCTCAATACAAAGTCTGAGGGATTTGCCAGTGCTGTTCTCTTTGGAGGCCTCTATATTCTTCTGATTTCTGCCCCTGCAGTACTGTAAATTTTTTGTTGAGACAGGGTTTCATGTAGCTCAGGTAGCCTTGAACTTACTGTGTAGAAGCAGATGACCTTGAACTTTAGAACTTCAGCTCCTCTTGCCTCCCCTTCTGAATGTTAGGATTACAAGCATGTGCCACCACATGTTATTGTGGTTCTGGGGATGGAACCCAGGACCTCATGTACATTAGGCAAGCACTCTACCAGCTGAGCTCCGACCCCATCCTTTCCAACAGCTCTTCTCTCTCTTAACTGCCTCATTTGGAACCCTACCTGGAGAAAAGCACCCCTGAAACCTCTCAGGTTTCCTGGGCACACCCCTTGGGCTTCCCTTCTTGTGGATGCTGGCTTCTTAATTTTTAAAAATTCATATATTTTATTTTATGAATGTATTGCCTGCATGTGTGTAAGTGCTGCCATGTTGTGCAATGCCCGTGGGGGTCAGTTTGTTTTTGAGATAGTATCTTACTACGAAGCCAAAGCTGGCCTCGAACTCACAATCCTCTTGCCTCAGCTTCCTAAGTGCTGGGATTACAGGTGTGCCCCACCATGCCCAGCCCTCATAGGTCTACTTATGGAGAGGAAATGTTTAAATGTGAGCTGTATGAAGGAAATGTCAAGGAGACTGCAATTGGAGAGTGGTATGTGAATTGATCCAGCCAGGTCATTTTACGTAGGAAAGGGGTGATTCTGGCAGGGGAAGTGGCATTCCGAAGCCTCTCCACAGAGCACCTGCTATGTGCCAGGTGCTGTTTCTGGACTGGGGATACATACCAAATGAAGCAGATGAGGTCTCTACCTCTGGGCTGTTTTGTTATTACCAGGGTTTCCTATTCCTGACCAGACCAGGTCTCCAAAGGGAGATCCCAGGCCCTTAGTGCCCTGTTCCAATGTGGCTGTCCAAAGGATGACTGTGCCACCCTTGGGAGATGGGCAGAGTGGATGTGTGGTCACTGGGGGTCCAGCAGCTCTGTCTGTGAGTGGAAGGAACCTGAAGTTCTGGGATAGGGAAACTTCTGCTCAGCAAAGAAGACCCTCCCATCCTATCACCCTCAGGACCCAACTCCACAGCCACTCAGCTGCTCTCACTGGGTTGGGGGAAATTATGCTCAGAAGGCCCTGAGAGTAGACCCTGGGCGTTCTGTGCCAGCTGCTATCATTTCTTGAACTGAGACCCAGATTAATGACATTTCTCCCACACTACACAGTCATGGCAGAGCTGAGACTGCCCTCCTCAGGGTCAGGCTCACAATGTCCATATGCTCAGTGTCCCTGAAGGATCATGGTGGCTGTCATTCTTCAGGCCTTCCTCCATCCAGCCTTCGAACCCCCACCACTACCCCAGTGCATACCGTACCAGTGCCAGGGACACACAGAATTGAGGCAAGAGGGTCAGCACTGCATCACTAAGTGAGGGCCTGACAGAAGAGATGACAGCACTGGCCATCAAGGTCACTATATAAGCATTGGAACTTTGTTCCCTCTGAGAACCTTGAGATGGCTTTGGGGATGGAGGAATGGGGAGGCATCCTCACAGAGACTGCCTGGTGCAAGCATCCTGGACACACAGGATACAGCTGTTACCATCAAGTCTGCTCTTTGTATAGGAACAGAACTTGGTGTTAAAGCAGCAAGGGACTGCTTGCTACTTACAAAAGTGACAGAATTTAGGATGAGATTAAGTGACAGGTAAGCATCAGTGCTGCTGCTCCCCACTAAGCTTTGTCTTCAGTCACTGCTGCATCAAGGAACCCTTCTCTCTTCCCTTCCTTCATTCTGTCTTGTCTTCTTCAGCCCCAACCCCAGGTAGCCCACAATACTCAGGAGCCCTCCCAGGTCAGAGAATACAGGATCAGAACTGCCTCTAGAAGGCTGGCTGTTCAAACCTCCTTGAGTAGCTGTTCTTTAGCTTTTGACCTCCCTCTGGAACCTTTCACCCTGAGGTGATCCTAGGAGAAAAGCAGGTGGAGGGGAAATTCCCACCTGGCTCTGTGCACACCTGTGTCGGTGCCTGCATCTGCCTCTTGCTCTGCTCCCAGCTCCCTGACCTGGGGAGAAAAACAAAACCCTAGCTGGGATAGCGGTAGATGCCTTTAATCCCAGCACTCTGGAGGCAGAGGCAGGTAGATCTTTAATAGTTTGAGGCTAGCCTGATCTACATAGCAAGTTTCAGGCCAACCAGTGCTACTTAATGAGTCTCTTGAACGCACGCTGCATAGTCCTGCAACATCCTGACCATAATTCCCTCTTGGATACTCTTCTATAAATGTCCTCCTACTCTTTTCACTGAACTGACAAGGATACTGTGGTCAAGGATATTTGTTTCCATCTTGGAAATGATTAAGGGGTCTCACCACGTGAACACTCTAGAAAGAATGCCTTGTAAGGGAGTTCAAAACAACAAACAAAAACAACAAACAAACAGCAAACCTTACAAATCCCAAGGAGGCTCTTCTTCACCCACTTATGTCCTATGAGCTGTCAGATAAAATATGGTATAAAAATCTCACTGTTTTGCCCTCCTAGGATACTCCATGATAACATATAGTAACCTCACATCCAGGCCTGTCCCTGGTCAAAGAGTACTGCCAAGTGTCTCCCAGACATAATACAGGATTTCTTCCTTAGGGAGATAGGATGGTGGGAAGGGAGTAGGCTGCTGTTTCCCAATCAAGATGAAGAATGTGGCTGGGCTCTTAGAGACTAGATGGAGCAGCCATTCTGCAACCCCTGCGGGCCTTTGGGAGAGGATGTTTCCATTGTCTATGGAACACATGCAGGTGCAGGGGCCCTGAAGGTGCACTCAGCTGATTCCTTCTCCATCAGGACTTGGTCTTCGATCTGGGAGACCCTGTGAGGTGGGAGTACATGCTCTTGGGATCCGATAAACCCTACCTATCCTTGACTGAGGATTATGACGAGGGGATGGACAATGATGATGATGTGGAATATCTGGTGAGTCCAAGTGGTGTGAGGGTGGATTGGAGGGGCTTTGCTCTCTATCTTGCTTCAGGTAGCCTGGCAAACATTCCTGAAAACATGTATGTGTATGGAGGAATCATAGATTCCTCAAAGTAGAAGGGCCAGAGCAAAGCCCTCCTTTTATAGATGAGTAAACTGACAGCTCTGGCATGACAGTGACCTATCTAGGCTCTCTCCCACCTGAGCCCCGTTTAGTGGTTGGACTGCTCCTTACAAAGCACGTCCCTTTGGAGTGGGAGCCCTGGGGCTGATCACCCTGCTGGCTCCTCCTGAATAGCCACTGTGATTCTTTACCTAGCCAGGCCTCTCCTGCCTGTCCTGTCAGGTCTTCTAAAGGCCATTGACCTGTAGTACCCCCAGTCATCAGTCTTGCTTCTTCAATTTCCCAGCAACCGGGGGTTGGGGGCACTTTCAGAATGGCCTGCATGAGCCCCTGTGTGAGCAATCAGGCCCAGGAGCTCAGGGCCTTAGGCATTGACTTTGTGACCTTGGGCAAATTTCCCCAGCTTTGGGAACTTCTACTCCTCCCCTGTATGTGAAATTAGAGAGAGGGTCACAGTCACTATTGGTAACTATAGCAACAATAACAACAGTCTGCTAGCACTGCTATAACAAAGGGCCACAGGCTGGGGGCTTAAACAACAGAAATTCTTTGTCTCACAATTCTGGAGACTGGAAATCCAAGATGGAGGTGCTGACAGGGCTGGTAACTTCTGAGAACTCCTGGGTTTGCTGATGGTTTTGAGTGCCATATCTTGCTGGGTCCTCTTTTTATGAATATGTGTCCTAATTTTCTTTCTTGTAAGGACACCCAACATATTGGGATAGGGCCATCTAAGGACCTCATTTAAACTTGATTGCCTATTCTTCAAAGACTTTATTTCCAAATGCAGCTATATTCATGGGTACTGGGGGTAAGGACTTTGGCAATAAGTTTAGAGGGAGATGGAGCAATGCTCATAGTGACAAGCAACACTCTTGTGGCCCCACTGAGCAACAGGCTCTGTTGTCAGTGCTGAACCTAGCTCACTCATTTAAATCTCTGCTAATCTCTGCTACCTGGGAAGCTGAGGCCCAACATCATCACTTGTAACTATTATCACACACATACACCCCATTTCAGAGGGGACAACTTGTGTATAGCGGGCAGAGTAAGGTACCCAAAGGATCCAGTCAGTAAGTGAGAGAGCTGGGCTCTGAGCCTGAACAGTTTAGCTGCATGTCTAGGTTCTCAGTGGTGGCTGTTCCAGCTTTGAGGGCTGCTTGAGAATGATCGAGGACAGCCCTGTAAATCTGTTGGAGACCAGGTCTCTGACTCCTCATTGCTGAGCAACAGCGCCCCCTGCTGACCACAGACACAAACCAGCAGCCTGCAGGGCATGTAGTCTGGGGGCAGCACCCTTAGTCCTGGGGCACACTGTTCCAGTCTGGAAGCCCTGTTCCATCCTTAGACTGGGAATCCTTGTTACTTCCAACACTGACAGATGACATTTCTGATAGTCAGCACTCAGCTCTGGGACACTCACAGCGCCAGGACCTCAGAGAGTTCTACCAATGTCCACTCCCAATTGCTTGCCTGGTCTGTCCCCAGAAGAAGTCACAATGAGATGAGCAGGGGTCATATGTCTGAGCAGTGCTTGTGGCAGAAAGGGTATAACAGAAAATCTTGAGTCTGATTTGAAGGTCATTTGTCTAGACCAGGCTTTATTTCACAGACAGAGCCACACAGAACCCCAAGCCCTGCTCCTGACATCATTTAGCCCTCTCCAGAAGATCAGTCATTGCTAAGGAAACTGAGACTTGGAGTGGATGAAGGCCTTTCTCAGGCCCCCTTACCTGGTACTAGGTAGAGTAAGGGGTATGATCCATCTGAGGGGACATGGCTGATGGTAACTTGGCTGGAGGTATGAGGTTAAAAGGGTACAAGGGCAGAAGCCACCATCTTAATCAGGCAGGTAGGGTATGGGTGTCTTCCCAAGCTGACTCCTCTTCTTCCCTGTCCTGGATCATGTGCCTAACTTCTGGCTCCCCTAGGGAAACTGACAGGGCCTCTTGGCTTGGTTCTGGGGCAAGGATGAGGGACAGAGCTTTTCCATGGCCTCTGTTCCAAGGCCCTGGCCAGCACCTGCCCCTTCTTCCCACAGGGCAAGGAGGATGAAGACAAGAGCTTTGACATGCCACCCTCATGGGTGGCACAGATCGAGATTACCCCAGAAGGTCTCTGTCATTCACTGGTCTATTGCCTCCACCAACAATCAGTCTCCAGCCCAGGGAAGGTCTACAGTGACAGCTGAACACAGGGCTTTGAAGGCTTTCCTGGTCCTCATCCCTACCCTTCCCAACACCCACCAGCTCTGTGCCCAGGGCCTGATACCATCTGACACATAGGACTGGGTTGTCAACATCATGACTGCCGAGGACAGAGACACAGCCCCTTTCCTTCCCTCAGAACCCCTGTTCAGAGGAGGCCATGGGCAGTGCACATGGTAGATGGTATAGGGGTGTCAGGCCCTGGGAGGTACAGACAGAGAAGGCCCTTAAGAGAGTGGTTTGTTTTATGCCTCCTGGCCACATCTGTCCATCTGAGAATGCCAAGATCCACAGGCAGGGTACAGGCAATTCCAAAATGTGGCAAGTGCTAGGAAGGTGGTCATGAAACCCAGAATGGGAGTACCCAGACCATCCCAAATAAGGGATGGGGGCAAAAGGAGACTAGAAGTAGGGGTCACTGAGGCTGGGCTTTGAAGGATCAGAAGCCATCCCTAGAGACAGAAGGGGGATGGTGTTCTCAGTACAGGGTTTGCCTTGGCAAAGTCCTGCCAGTGAGTGTGAGGTGGCTGGATCACAGATCTCATTCTTAGGCAGCTCTGACCTAAGATCTGGCTGGCCTAAAAATACTTCAGATGAAGTTGGAGCCAGCACTGGTGACTATTCTCTGCCTCCCTGGAGCTGAATTTCAGCCTGGAGGCATTTTGTAGACAGTACAGGAGTTAGATGAATGGCCAAGAGGGGTGGAAGGAGAGACCCCAGCTCCCTCATGTCTGCAGAGTTTGAGACCCGCTGCCCAAATGGAAAGAAAGTGATACAATACAAGAGGGCGCAGGTGGAGAAGTGGGCACCATATCTCAACAACAACGGCCTGGTGTGCCGCCTCACCACCTATGAAGACCTACAGTGTAAGGTGCCCTCGGGGCCAGGGATGGGTGGCATGGCCAAGATGCAACTTTGGGCACATCACTTCTATCCTCTCGGTGTCTGTGAAGCAGACGCCAGGGGAGCTGGTCTACCTGAAAGAGCAGCCTGGGGTCCCCACAGGTACCAAGGGTCTGGAGATAAAGGAGTGGTACCAGAACCGGGAGGACATGCTGGAACTGAGGCACATAAACAGGACCACAGGCCTGCACGTGGACTACTTCAAGCCCGGCCACCCCCAGGCTCTGCAAGGTGTGTGAATCTCATTGCTGGGATGGACCTTGGGTGTGGGAGGGGTTTACATGTTCCTAGGACAGTATCCACAAGGTTCTTGGGTGTCAAGGAACAGACACTGCTTCTGCCAATGAGGTGTGAGGGCAGATGAGGAAACTCAGAGAAGGAAGGTGATGTGTCTCCTACATCATGGCTCTTAAGGGCAGTTGAATAAAATGTAGCTTAGCATGCCCAAAGCCCTAGTTCCATCTCTTACACAATAATGACAGTAGTAGCAATAATAACGACCTTAAAATGTGTACGTGTTTTGACTCAGTGATTCTACTGCCAAGAGCTTGTTCTTATCAAAGAACAGTCGAGAATATAAATGTATAATGCAGATGTTCATCACAGTGCTGTTTATAAAAATAAAAGGTTGGCCATAACCTAAAAACCCAGCAGAGATGGGCTGGGTACATAGCTAATGTTCATCTGTAATGTGCAGCTGCCTTCTCTCTGGGCCTGGGGTCAGTTACCAAGCCAGCTGTCACAGCTCCTGGCACTCACCCAGCCACCTCCTCCCCTCACCCTAGTGCACTCATACAAGTCCATGCTGCCTGAGATGGACCGCGTCATGGAGTTCTATGAAATGGCCCGTGAGGATGGCCTGATAAAGCGGGAGGAGACGCCCATGACAATGACAGAATATTATGGAGGGCGCTCAGACTTCCTCTCCTATCGCCACATCAATTTTGGGCCCAGGATCAAGAAACTCACCCAGAACAGTGCAGAGTCAAACCCGAGGCCCATGGTGGTAAGAGCTCACTGAGCCTGGAGACTGGCCGACATGCTCTGGCATACAGAGGTCCTGCCCAAGGTGGGAGAGCCCTGAGGCCTGTGACATTGTCAGAATCTGAGTTAAACATTTTATTAAATGCAGATTACTGGGCTTGCTTGGTGCTTCACTGTGTCCTCAACCACCAGACCAAGAGGCACTGTTTCCTTACTGTGATAAGCAAGTTCACCTTCACGGCCAGACATCCGGAAATGTGGGGAAAACAGAAATAGGAAAACATCTAAAAATGACATCTGTCCAATATTACTGCGGAGTAATAGGTTTGGTCCTAGCTGGGCATGGTGGCACACACCTGTAATCCGAGCACCTGAGAGTTGGTGGCATAAGGATCAGGAGTTCAAAGCTATCCTCAGCTACATAGTGAGTTCAAGGCCAGCTTTAGTTATGCAAGGCCTTGTCTCATTAAACCCAGGGCTGAGGAGATGGCTCAGTCAGTAAACTGCTTGCACTTTTGTAAAAAAGCCAAGCACTGGCACATACCTATAATCCCAGCACTGGGGAGGCAGAATAGATTTGCTGGCCAGCTAGTCTAGCCAAATCAGTGAGCTCCAGGTTCAGTGAGAGAGCCTGTCTCAAAAGACAGGGTGGAGCGCAATGGAAGAAGACACCCTATGTCGGCCTCTGCCCCAACACATGCACGCACAAATGTACACACACCCATGTATACACACACACACACACACACATACACACACACAGTGTTTTAGAGTTCTAATTTTATTGCGCTCTGGGGGTGAAGGTTAGAACCCCGGTTTCATCCACTTTCATCAAATTGTGCTGTTTTTCTGAGTTGCTACTCAGTTGTTGGCCACACACCAAAGGTGCTCCTTTCCCCTAGTAAGGGCTGTCTGGTGAGGGGGTAGGTTTCTTGGAGATGTGTTGAACGCCCCATCTCTAGGGGCAGGCAAGAAGCGTCTTGTAGAGGAAGCTGGAGAAGGGGCTGGGCACCACGTGAGGCCAGAGTGGCTGGGCCCTGAGAACCCATTGGGGGGGTCACGAAATCCATTGTCTGGCTAGAAGGGATTGCTCAAATGGGCCAAAGCCTGAGTCCTTTGCCCTTGCCCACAGAGCATGCGCATACATGCCCCTCCCGCCTTGCCCTGTTCTGGCCGCACAGAAAATCACCGAGCGATTTTCCCGAAACCCCGAGAAGCCAGCGGACGAGGACGTGGCAGAGCGCGTGTTTCTGATCACAGAGGAACGCATCCAGCTCCGCTACCACTGCCGTGACGACTACATCACCGCGTCCAAGCGCGAGTTCCTGCGGCGAACCGAGGTGGACAGCAAGGGCAACAAGATCAACATGACGCCGGACATGTGCATTAGCTTTGAGGTGGGCTGGTGACTGCCCAGGGCAGGGACCGTGGGGGGCAACCCTGGGAACTGCGCCTGTGGCCCCATCAAGGAACTTGGGAAACTCCAGGTGGATGTTCTTGAAATTCAACAGGAAATTCACCTCTGCCCCAAACTCACATCTGAGGACCCCTCCCTTTGCCATTCCTCTGCAAGCCATCCCCTTTCCATAGAAACGAGAACCCAGCAGGCTGAGACTATTCCTTACAGTCCCTGCCTGCACCTCTGGTGAACCCAGACCTCAGCTCTCAGAGGTCCATTCCTCTACAGTCTCCCGGTCCTCCCGGAATCTGCACTTTCCTGTCACATTCCTTATAGCCCTCTGCATCCTTGGTTCGCCGTTACTATCTGGAGTTTTGTAGATGAGGACGCTGAGACCCGGAGAGGCTAAGCAACTTGCTTGCGGCAAGAGTAGACTTAAACCAAGTGGTCCCGAGCTGACCATGGCAGCCTCTCTGTCACTGTGGTGGTTCTGGTCCCAGGTAGAGCCCATGGAGCATACCAAGAAGCTTCTTTACCAGTACAAGACCATGATTCACCTGAAGAATGAGGAGAAACTGTCCCGACATCAGGCCTGGGAGTCAGAACTGGAGGTAAAGTCTTACAGAAGTGGGCAGTGGGAGGACGCAGGGTGAGAAGGTCTTAACAGTGCATTTCCTCCATCACTGGCGATTGAGGTGCTGGAGATCCTGAAGCTTCGGGAGGAGGAGGAGGCGGCGCATACACTGACCATCTCCATCTACGACACCAAACGCAATGAGAAAAGCAAAGAGTATCGGGAGGCCATGGTGAGCCAATGTCCCTGCTTCTCCCAGATTGCTTTCCCTGGAGCCCTGCCTCCAGGATGGAGACCATGGGAATCCTTTGTAAGAGATGATGCCATTGATGCTGAGTGAGCATCCTTGCTGACCATCACTGGCTGAGCTGACCAATTCCATGGTTCACCCCAGAGAGCGCTCCAAATCCAGACCAGGTGTCCTCAATCCAGGGCTGTGGCCAAGCCAAGGCCTGTTGCATATGGGGAAAGAATGAAAACTGCATGCCCTCTCCCACCAGGCTTCCCACTGAGACTGTGACCCAAGCTGAGCCCAGCAAGCTGACAGAGGCACAAACTGAGCACTGGGTCCCTGCAGCACAGGGCTTTAGCGTACCTCCCAAGGGGCGAGGCTCAGTTGGGTTTTCAGACTTGCTTCCAAGTCCTCTTCACCTAGTGCTGATTTCTAAAGGAGACTGGGGTTGGTGAGGCAAGGCTGAGTATCCGATGACTTTTCAGAGCCCTGGGGAAAGGCAAGAGCCTGTGTCTCCAGCTTCCCTGGTCCCTGTTCACCCCATGTAGGGCTTTATGGGCAAAAGAGGAAAGTGATGCAAGTTCAGCATCATTGCTAACCACTGCCATTCACTGAGTAAGCACCTGCTGTGGACTGTCAGGCCCAGGCTGTGTGCTTTACAGACAAGAGTCAGTCTCAGTTTTCAGAGGAGGAAAGTGAGGCTCAGGATGAGAGATGAAGTCATGTCAGAAACAGTAATTGCATGTCACCCTTAAACACAGGTGCAAGAGGTGACCCTGTCTCAGTGGAACCCCATGCTGGGACCTGACTTTGTGCTTTCACAACATGAACTCAGAACTGGTTGGGAGGTCTCCCAGAGGTCTTGCTCTTCCAGCTGATCCCATTCCCCCATAGGAGCGTGTTTTGCATGAGGAGCACCTGCAACAGGTGGAGACCCAGCTGGACTACCTGGCCCCATTCCTGGCACAGCTGTCTCCGGGGGAGAAGCTGACTCGCTGGCAGGCGGTGCGCCTCAAGGATGAATGTCTCAGCGACTTCAAACAGCGCCTCATCGACAAGGCTAACCTCATCCAGGCACGCTTTGAGAAGGTGTGGCCACGGCCCATGCAGGAGAGGGGACCTTGGCGTCATTAGCCAAAAAATGGGTCCTGGACTCTCTGCTCAGCACCTCACAGATGTGGGAGGGACAGATGAGTGTATATGTCTGTGTTTTGGGACCCCAGGTGTCTGAGTTCTTCTCTTTTGGCTATTAGGTGGATGAATAGATGACTGAGTAGATGATAGGACAGGTGGGTAGATCTGAGTGGATGGGGTGGGTAGATGGGAAATGGATGACGTGTGTAAGTGGGTGACTAATGGATGGATGGTGGATGGATAAATTGTTATGTAGGTGAGTGGCTATGGGTGGAATGTGGATGGATAAGGATGAATATAGATAAGTGGATAGATGAGAGGATGAGTGGGTGGATGGTGGGTGGGTGAGTGGAAAGATGGCTTGACAGATGAGCAGATGGGGATCGGCGAGGGGATGGATGAGGGTCTGTGGATGGATGGACTAGTGGTAGGTAAATCTAATAGTTCCTACTTCTTGGTCCATTTCATGGATTAGGTGCCTTGAGAGCTCTGCACAAAGCAGTCATTTTTGGAGATAAGCTATTTGAGGCTCTGAGCTTGTCAGCAACTTGTCAAGACCATGTAGCTAGCTATCTGGTTTTGTTTATGAGATGCTGGGGATGGAACCCAGGGCCATGAGCTGAGCCATGCCCCCAGCCCTGGCTAGCTGTATGACATGCTGTCTTTCACATCATATCTCCAGTGGAATTCCCACCCAAGACATTTTGTGACCCCCTAACTGCCCTTCTGCTGGTGGGGGTAACCCTCCTGGGGCTGCCTGGCACCCTGAGGGTTAGCTCACACCTTTCTCCTGCTCATCTCACTGTGCCCCCAGGAGACCCAGGAGCTGCAGAAGAAACAGCAGTGGTACCAGGAGAACCAGGTAACGTTGTCACCAGAGGATGAAGACTTGTACCTGAGCTACTGCTCTCAGGCCATGTTCCGCATCCGCATCTTGGAACAGAGGCTCAACCGGTAAGGGGCAGAGCCAGGAGGACCCCTGGGAGCAGCCTTACCAGCTTGAATGTCCTTCACCTTCTCCTTCCTCCTGTGCAGGCACAAAGAGATGGCTCCACTGAAGTACCTGGCTCTGGAAGAAAAGCTCTACAAGGACCCACGCCTAGTAGAGTTCCTGAAAGTCTTTGTTTGATGCCCCTCATGGGACCACAGCAGATGCCAGAGAATGGAGCTCCTCCTCCCTCCCCAGCCACTGTGCTCCTACACTGGCTGCACTGCCATACCACCTCCCCTGTTCTCCAGTCTCCCCCAAATAAACACATTTCTAACTTACCATTTATATACCCCAGGCTTCACAAGCTCCAGTCCCAGTCTTTCCCTGTCATCCTCTCTTGCTGGAGTGTTAGGTCTTTACCTCTGCAGATGGTCCCACGGCTGCCTGCACACAGCTGGTTAGATCTTGATGTGGTAATGGTGGCCCAGCTCATAAAGTGGGAATTGCAAAACCAAGGTGTGCACCCCAGAATTTGGCAGCTTGACATTAGAGGGCAAAGGGCTGCATCCAAGTTCCTTTTCCATTTATTACCTAAGAAACAAGGACGGCATGTTGCCCAAAATAAGACTTAAAAAGCAGAGAAAGCTGGGTGTGGTTGTGCATACCTGTAATTCCAGTACTTGGGATATGGAGGCAAGAAGGTCAGGAGTTTGTAGTTGGCTTCAGCTACATAGGGAGTTTGAGGATAGCCTGGGCTATAATAAGACCCTATCTTAAAAACAAAAAAGAAATGAAAACTCAGCAACACAAAACCCAGAGAAAATCCTACCAGTAATCCCAGAACTCTAGAGGTTGAAGCAGGAGGATCAGGAGTTCAAGGCCAGCCTCATCTATATAGGGAGTTTAAGGCCCCTCACTGTCTCAAAACAGTATTTGTCAGGGAGGCTACAGAGACTTCCAAAAGCAATACAGGCTCTTGCCTTTCCGTTAGGTTGCCCACTAGAACTAGATGATTAGACCCTATTGCTAAAGACAACATACACCTTGGTTGCAAGATGTAGAGAAGTCAAGCTGGAACCAACTTCCTTTCTGCTGGCTAGCTTCCATAGAGCTAGAAGGTTCTGTGCAGGCTGCTGAGGGGAAAGAAGGCCTCAGTGAGCTTTCCTAGCTGTGAACCCTACAAACTATAATGCCAACCTGCTAAGGAAGATGTGCTCACTGGTGGTGAAACAGTTGCATGACTATTAATGGGAGAAACCAACAGCTCTGGGATTAGGTTTGAGGCCCATTCCATAGGAGGGAATAATATGCCCAGTATTGTAAATCCAGTCAAAAACCCATGGCTGGGGAAGTGTAGGCCCTAGAGGTACTTCCTACTGTTGTTTAACTAAATCAACATGGTCCCAAACTGCCATCTAAACATCTAGATTTATACCACAGACAAATGCTACTGTCTGCCTTAATCAGAAAAGCTGCTCTGAACAGTGGTAGATGCAGAGACTTGTGGCTGTTCAAGGTACTGGGTACAAGTAACTGTTGAGTGCTCAGCTCCAAACTGGACATTTATGTTTATACCATCTCTAAGGCTCAGGGAACATCATGGAAGAGGGAGCAGAAAGAATGTAAGCATCAGAAGATAGGAAGAAGGGCTGTGAAATACTATCTTCAGGACATGGCATGGCCATTGCAAACATCATCTCACAGCAGCTGTGGCTGCTTGCACTGGTCCTGCAGAAGACTGGGTCTGTCAACAGCCAATCGTGGATCAGGGAGGAGCTCATGGGGTCCTACTTCTCCCTGCTGAACTGGTGGATTCTGGCAGAGGGGCAGTCTTTGTCTTCATCTGTGTACCAAACAGGTGAGCCCACCAGGCTCTACATACATAGTTCCAAACCCATATGGGGGGTAAGAGAAGGTGTGGGATGAAGGTAATGAGAATGCATTATGTGCATGCATGAAATTGTCAAAGAACACATTTAATTTGAAGAAAGAGAGAGAATAAAGTGGCACATTAATACTCTAAATGTTAGCTCAAAGCATGGCTAAGCCTGGTGCTGCTACGTACCTGAAATCCCAGCACTCTCAAATCAACCCATAATACAAATCCATCCTTAGGGCAATCTACAAGGTAAATGGCTTCATTTCTTTGAGATCAATGCCAAAGAGATTAATAGATAAATAGAAACAAAAGTTGAAGGACAGAAATAGTATGAACTTGAAAGGGCCAAGTATGTCAAGAATGCTGTATCTTGCCTGGTTCTTCAGTTAGGAACTTTGTGTGGGTCCTGCTCTATCATATTCCCACCTTGTTCCTTGAGTCGTTGAAGCTGGAGCTAGGCTGGTAGTCAGCAAGTCCCAGTGATTCTCTTGCCTATGTTCCCCACAGTGCTAGGGTTATGGACATGCATGCAGGTATGCCAGCTTTTTACATGGGTGCTAAGGATCTGAACTCAGGTCCTTGTGCATGCATAGCAAGTGCTCTTACCCACTGAGCCATCTCCCTAGCCTCTAGGAACTTTTTATCTAGTGTTGGGAATTGAACCTAGCAACTCCTGCATAATAGATAAAGCTTTCCACCACTGAGGTATATTCCTGATCTAGTTCCTACTTAGAGAAGTTATTACACAAATTGGAAATGAATGAGGTCATGTGACTGTAGTCTGCTTGTTAGAGAATTAAGCATTCTTAAGGTTAGTGGTGGTTGTGTGACTAAGGGCCCTATTTTAGAGCTACATGATCAGTACTGTTAGGATTGAAATGTTTACAATATTCAAATGGTTTTTGTAGGGGATATAGAATAGAGCAGAAATAGCAAAATGTTGGGTCAAAATCAAAGTGATTTGACATTCTCAACTTTCTTATAATAAAAAGGGCTTTTATATAATAAAAAGCCGAGGATTACAAACTAGAAAGTTTGATTCAATGTCATTCTCTAAACTTTTAAATCCAAGCCCCTCTCTGTCTCTCTCTCTCTGTCTGTCTCTCTCTCCCCGCACCCACCCCGTTTTTTTTTTTTTTTTGTTTTTTTTTCTTTTTTTTTTTTTTTGGTCTTTTTGAGACAGGGTCTCCCTGTAGCTCCAGCTGTTCTGGAACTCACTATGTAGACCAAGCTGGCCTTGAACTCACAGAGATCTGCCTGCCTCTGCCTCCCAAGTGCTAAGATCAAAGGCCTGCGGGGCCACATCCCTCCCCGCCCCCACCCCGTTTTTTTTTTTTTTGGTTGTTTGTTCATTTGTTTTTGTTGTTCTTTGGTTTTTTGAGACAGGGTCTCCCTGTAGCCCCAGGTGGCCTGGAATTGGCCAGGCTGGCTTCGATCTCTGCCTCCCACGTGCAGGGAACTCCACCCCCGGACCCCCAGGTCTCTTTTAATAATTCCTACAGCTCCAGGGGCTAGAGGATGTTTCTTGTCCCTGCAGGGGGTATGCATCCAGTAGGGGCTTCCCCAGGCCTTGGCTGGGGACAAGGGTGTAAGTCCTTGGGGTCTTTTTCAAGAATCTTAACCTGAGCCTGTTTCCTCATCCGTAAATGGGGACATGAATTCCTACCCCTTAGGGCGGACGGAGAACAATGTGACACCCAGCAGCCCCGACAAGAGGTGAGTGGAGGACAGACCTGGCGTCCAAGGGTCTTCCCGCACTGGGCTAGGGCTTCAACCAAATGGGGTCCTGACTCCTCGTGGGTTGGTTATGCAGCCTTCCCATGAACTTGTCCTGCCCGAAGTGTCACACAAGTGGCAGAAAGGTTCCTACTCCGTGTTCCCATTCATCCATTGCCCAGTCGGTGACCCTAGGGACGAACTCCTGGACTCCACGCCGACTGGACTAGGAGGAATCAGGCGCTGTTTGGATCCAAGCAGTGAGACCAAATTCTCAGACCACCACCGCCCCCACAGGCTGGCGTAGGTACTGTGGCAACATGCTAAAGTTCAAGTCACTTCGCCCTGTTCCAAGATGGAAGGCTTACAGCTTCACGCTGCTCCCAAAGTCCACTTCCCATTGGTTATCTGGGAATTAGTGCGCCAATAATGGGGACGTTGATTGGTCTAACTAGGATGGTTGTTAAATCGATTGGTGCGGCCGCCATTGGGGTTCCAGGAAGAGAAAGAAAAGGGCGAAAGCTAGAACGGAAGCGGGACCTAGGAAAAAGCAGCCCGCATTGGCTCTTCCGAGGCCTTAGGGCGGCCCCTGAACGCTCCTTCCTCGTGATAAGTCCGAGTCAGGAAAAAGAGGAGGGTAGATAACCAAAGCGGAAGAAGCGCCTGCTTCTATTGGCCAATCCCAGAGGAAGGCGGAGCGTCCGCGGCGTCTAATTGGTGCAGAAGGCGAAGTGGGCGGGGCTCTGAACCGTAGGTTTTGTTGTGAGGGTCGGTTGTCAAGCAGCAACCAATCAGGGCAGAGGATGGAGGCAAGTGGGGGTCGCGCCTGGAGCGGAGCCTTGGCCTCCCGAGCTACAGCTGCAGGTAGAGTGGGCGATGACCCGGGTTGGGAGGAGCGGGGAGGAGGGGCTCCGGCCTGGGCCGAGCTCGGAGGGGGTCGAGGGCGCTGCCGGGAGAGAGTTCCGGGCCGGGGCAGGCTGGAACCAGCTACCCCAGAAGCCAGAGGGGCGAGAGGGTCAGGCGAGGCTGAGAGACCAGCCCCAGATTTGGACGAGGCGGGAGGGGGCAAGTTAGGGGACCGGAAACAGAGCGGAATGGTACTGAGTTGGGGCGCGAGAAGCAGTGGAGCGAATGAATGGGGGACTCCGATAGCAGCGAGGAAAGGAGAGTCAAGGGGTTTGGCGGGGCGGAGGCCAACTAGGGAGGTCATGATGCGTTGAGTGGGAGCATGGGCGACAGCAGAAAGGGAACGCAGGGAGAGGCTCCTGGCCAAGTGCTGAAGGGCCAAGGCTGTGGAAGACGCCATGCCTCTTAGAGTTGAGGACTCATTCCAACCTACGCCCAGACTGGAGACCCAGTTCCCATCTCTGTCCTTGAGAGTTGCATGGGCAGGTGTGGTTCCCTTTACGGGAACGAGGGGATTGGACCTTCAGGATCCTCTTGGAGATCCATCCGTCCCGCACAACCCAGGACTTCAAGGACTTTCTCAATGGGCTGCTAGTCATGGGCCCCTGACCCTCGGTCTTCAATGCTCATCTGATACACCAGGTGCAAGCAGTAATTCCCAGAAATCTGTGTGAAGTGCAGACATGTGGTCCTCCCCACCCCACTGCAGCTGCTCGTATTTGAGACAGCCACCTTGAGCACAGCCTCTTGTGATCTCAGACCTCCGGAAAGACGTTTTTTCAGATAGCATCTCACTATGTAGCCCTGGCTGGCCTGGAACTCACTATATAGATCAGGCTTGCCATCCCCCCCCACCCCCCGCCCCAATGAAGGTATTGAAGGCATGTGATACCATACCCAGCTACTCTGGGAAGATCTAAGGTCTTTGTTCCAGTGCTAAGTCCCTCCCCCTCTGAAGTTTCTCAGATCCCATGTGCAGTACAGCTCCAGGCCCTGGGGGCATTTGGTGGGTCATCGAGGGACCTTGGTGAGCCAGGGACCTGCAACTCTTCCCTAAACACTTCTTAACACCCCATCCCCTCTACTTCTATTCCAGTCTCGTGTTGAGCTGAGATGGCCCAAGCCTGACATTCCATGATCCTGGATCCTGGCAGATGTGCACAGGCTGCTACAGCAGCAGTGGATGATCTAAACCACCAGGCAGTCCTGGGCCAAGAGAGGAGGACTCTCTGCCTGGATGTGTGGAGACTCCCTGCCAACTTGATTGGCGGATCTGGGGGGGATCCACCCCCACCCCACAAAGAAAGCACAGTCCATTTTGTGGGTGGGGTCTCAGGTGCCAGCCCCTGAAACATGGCCACCCCTGTGGTCACCAAGACGGCCTGGAAGTTACGTGAGTACTTTTCATTTTTCCTTATCATCCCATTGTTTTGTGGGCTGTTTGTTGCTGGGCAGAGTCTGAACCTGCAGCTTTGTCTCCTCTCCTTGGTGCAGGGGAGACTTGAGCCTTGTAAAGTAGACCAAGATGTAAATCACATTGGGCAGGTGACTTATCCCCTTCAAGGCTCAGTTTCTGTATCTATAGAGCGAAATAATTGCACCTACATTCTGTAACTGCTATGAGATTCAGCTGAGATCTCAAACTTAATAAAGCACTTGATGTAGGATTTCCATTCAGGCTGATGGGCAGGTGGGATGAGAAAAGCTGAATGGTGTTTTAGAAATTTTAAACATGTTACAAATCAGATTTCTTCAGTCACATGAAAACATCTTGAAATGGGATGGAGAAGTGACGAGGGGGCTGAAGGATAGACAGATGCTGACAGGCTCTGGAATGTAATTGAGCAAAGAGTGTTTCTAAATTCTTTTGACTCTTATAATAAGTCTTAAAAATTATTGAGAGCCCCAAGGTGCTTTTGTCTAAGGTCAGGTATGGTGGTGCACACCTTTAATCCCAGCACTGGGGAGGCAGAGGCAGGAGGATCTCTGTGAGTTTGAGGCCAGCCTGGTCTACGTAGGCAGCCTACACTGGGCATCATCTCCAGCTCTCCCCTCTGCTACTGCCCTCCTCAAATTCAAAAAAAAAAAAAAAAAAAAAAATTATTGAGAACTTCAAAGTGCTTTTGTCTAGAATAGATAACTCTTCTTACCCATGTTTGCCATGTTAGAAAACACTAAGACAGTTTTGAAACATGACATTTACTTAGGCCTGACATTTAGTGATAATGTCATCACATATGTATCTTCTCGAAGATTCTGCTAGAGCAAATGAGAGTACCAAAAGCCAATACCATCTTGGTATTAAGATAGTAGTTTTGTTTTTCTTTTGAACCCTCTAAAACCTGAGGATTCCAAGGGGCCTCGGATCATGTGTGGAGGACCTGTTCCACGCCTCTGTGGGTCCCTCTTGAGTTGTAACTGGTTGGCAGAGATTAGGTGTGTTCCTGCTCTGCTGGGTGTTATCCCTGGTTGTCTTCAGGAACTGGAGTAAGGCTCTAGCACTTTTTAAACACAGGACTTTGGGCAAAACTGTTTGCTAACTGTTTCCTCATTTGTAAAGTGAGAGATTGGGACTATTTTCAAGATGTTCTCCAAAGCTCTAGTATTTTGGGAAAACCCTGTTAATGGCCCTCAAGGAAGGTACACTTTAGACGGAGTGGCTTTTTATTTGTGGGGATTATGTATCCAGCTCTTCAGCAGCTGACTATACCAAAGGGTAGAGCAGGCACTGGGAGGTAAATCAGGGCCAAAATAGCCAAGGTCACTGTATAGTGGGAGCTCAGCCTGAGAGAATAACAGGACTCAGATAATCACATCCATGTATTTCCAGCCCTGGTCTAATTCTAAGCTGATGTGTGTGCTTGGAACAAGTTAACTAAATGGTGAGGGTAGAGAGTGAGACAGGGACAGCTGTGTGAATAGCAGGTGCATAGGCCCTGAGACAGAACTTGGCATGTACTGGAAGGACCTACAGAAGGCTCTGAGGCTGTGGCACAGTAGCAAGGAGAAAATGATACCAGATGAAGCTAGTGAGTTCTGCAGGGGTCCATGTCCACAGGACCCTACCCTTTGGAAACCTTGGGTTTTATTTTGAAAACCCATTATCAAAGACTTCAAGCCATCAAAATAGTTAAGCAACAAGTGGTAATGAGATCAGGCATGTTGAGAATCTGACAGTTTCTTTTCTTTTTTTTTTCTTTTTTTTTCCAGTCTTTTTGAGACAGGGTCTCTCTGTACCCCTAGCTGTCCTGGAACTCACTATGTAGACCAGGGTGCCCTTGAACTCACAAAGATCCGCCTGTCTCTGCCTCCCAAGTGCTGGGATTAAAGGTGTACGCCACCACGCCCGGCTGACAGTTTCTTTTTTTTAATAAATATTTTATTTATTTTTATTTTATGTGTATGAGTGTATTGCCTGAATGTGAGTGCACCCATGTCATGAAATGCTGTGAAGGTCAGAAGAGGGCTTCAGATTCCCCTGGAACTGGAGTTAAGGATGGTTCATAGCCGCCATGTGGGTACTGGGAATCAGACCCGGGTCCTCTGCAAGAGCAGTCAGTGCTCCTAACTGCTGAACCATCTCTCCAGCCTCAAGAATCTGACAGTTTCATGTGCGCAGAGATTGCCATGAGTATAAACTAAGGAGTCCAAGGCCACATAGATTGGGACTCCTTGGGGCTTCAGGGTCTGATGAGAATCAAAGCTCTTGGCCAGTGCAGAATTACTGAAGCCCATCCTTTGCATCTTCCTCCCAGGATGCAAATCCTCAGCACCTCTAGGCAGAAGGCAAGTGTTCCCCAGCTTTGGCTGGGGTGTAGAGGCCAGGATGTACTGCCAGGGCTTGGGGAGGTCCTATGGACTTATGGCAAGAGGCAGAACAGTAGCTCTCACCTGGCCTGCCCGGAGACACTGAAGATTTTGACCTGTTTGTATGAAAATCTGGCACCCAGGAGTTGCTGCTTTTTGCTGATGCCTGTGCTGTACCTTCCATCTGCATGAGCTCCCATCAGCATCTGTTTGAGGGGAGACATCTCACCTCTCTCCAACACAGACCCCCCCCAACCCCTTGTGACTCTTCCAGTCCTAGGTAGGCCCAGCTGCCCAGGAAGCATCTGATCTCCCTGAAGGCAGGAAGCTCTCATTCCATAGCCTCCCAGTGCCAGGCCTAGAGTAGATACCTAGAAGTACTTATACCACACTAATGGCTGTCTTAGGCAGTAGGGTCCTGAGGTGGGACTGAGCTAGACCTATTCCACTTTCCCAGGGGAGGGTAAAAGCTAGAGCTAATGGACAAGGGCCTCAGATGGGTCCAGGGAGTGGCTGTGGAGAAGGAGACCTCTTTGTCTAGAGGTCAGAAGACACTGTGGCTAAAATGAGGACTAGAGAGGGCCCCAACTCCCATGGTTCCAAATGATGGAGTTTTCAGTGCCCAGGCTAACTCACTAGTTGGGCTGGCTGCTGCTTGTGCCATCTGTGTCCTTCCAGGCTCTATTAGGAAGTGTTGACTCAGAAATGGTGTCCGGAGCTAGGGCCCCTGGCATCTTTAGGTGCTCCATGGAGCCAGGCTGCTTGGATTTCTTGGGCCTCTTTTCCAGTCTCCTTGTGTTCTACAGCTCATACAGGAGCCATCCAGGTAGGGTGGAGTAAGACCTGGAGTGGAAGAAGGGCCCTCCATGAACAGGTGACATCCTCCTCAGCATCACCCAAGCCAGTCTCTCAGGGCATCTGCATGTTGGGGTTTCCCTTGCCTGTATGGAAGACCTGCCCTTTCCTTTCTCCTCTTCATTCCTGGGAAGAACTTGGGGACCAGGGACTGGCTCCAAGGCCTAGGCTGCCTCTTGGTTCCTTGCTAAGTTCTTTCTAGAGCACTGATGAGGCCCCTGAAGTTCCCACCTGTGGCCCATGCTTTGGCCCCACAGTCCAGGCCAAGGTCCTAGTGGCTGCCTACAGGTGGCCTCATCTCCCACTCTTTGTGGTCAGTCACATCTGCAACCTACATCTGTTGTCTCCTGCCACTGTCTTTATGAAACCCACTCCCTGTCCACCAGGGGACCTGATGGTACTTTGTCCAGGTTGACCAATTTTTAGCCTGCCTGTCACCTGCTCAACCTGTTCATAGTGAGCTGGCCCTGGGGTTAGCCTGTTCTCAAGACAAGGACCCTCCCTCAGAGAGGATGGGTGACTAGTCCAAGGCTACATAGCTAACAGAGCCCAGACCAGCACCTGATTTGTGATTCTGAATTGGGAGTTGGAGACAGATGTCTAGAGAGAACTTGAATTGTTCTAAGGTATGTCCCAGGTGGACTCTGTCCATCTGAGTGGCACCTAAGAGCGTCTGAAAGGCACTTAGGAAGTGCATGAGTCCTTTTTCCCTTTCTTTCTTTTCTGAGTGTTTTCATATCAGAAAAAGTTATGACCATATCCGTGGATCTTATTTCTTAAGACAGAGTTAAATAAAAATAGCCAAGCCGGGTGTGATGGGGCATGCCTTTAATCCCAGCACTCGGGAGGCAGAGGCAGGCGGCTCTCTGTGAGTTCAAGGCCAGCCTGGTCTACATAGTGAGTTTTAGGCCAGCTGGGACTACAGGGAGACCCTGTCTCAAAAAGACCAAAAAAAAAATAGAAAGCCAATTTTAAAATTTGAGTTTAGTCATCCCACAGTATCTGTGGTGATTGGTTCCAGGACCCCTACACTCAGATACCCAAACCCACACGTGCTCAAGTCCTTCATACAGTGGTAAGTGTGCGTAGAAACTACACTCACCTTCCTGGGTACTTTGAATCATCTATTACTTGTGATAGCTAGTACAGTGTAAGTGCTATTTAAATATTTGTTGTGTTATATCATTTAGGGACTAGCAGTAAGAAAAAAAAAAGGTCTACATGTACAGAAAAGGACAGGTGCTTGTTTTGTTTGTGACAGGGTCTTTGTAGACTAAGCTGACTTCGAGTTCCTGATCCTCCTGTCTCAGCCTCCTGAGTGTTGAGGTTACAAGTGTGTGCCACCATGCGCTACACTGCGATGTGCTTATTCCCATTATTTCCTGTCTGGAGTTGGTTGAATGTGTGTGCATATGGAATATGTTCCATGTGGTTGGTATTACCAGCTGATGTGAAGAGAAAGGAAAAGTTTAGGAGGCCTAAGAGCAGGACAGGGTGACAGGTGGAGGGATAGTCACTTTAGTCTCTGACCCACACCTTGCTCTGTTGCTGGTCTGCAGCTCAGGGGGATTATTTGGGCTTCAAGTTCAGAGCCAGTAGCTGAGCAGAGCCACCTCCTCTCTATGGCCCATCAAAGTCCTCTGACATTTTCTTTCTCTCCTGTGTAGAGGAGATCGTCGCTCATGCCAGCAATGTGTCCTCATTGGTGCTGGGCAAGGCCTCCGGGCGGCTGCTGGCCACTGGAGGGGATGACTGCCGTGTCAACCTGTGGTCCATCAACAAGCCTAACTGCATCATGGTGAGTGATGAGCCATGGCCATTGGTGGGGATTGGGGCTGGTAGGGATACCAGGGTGGCCCAGCATACCATCAGTGCCACTCTAGCTGTCTGCACAGTGAAGCCCAGGCCAGCTGGGATGGTGGCAGGTGTTTAGGAAACGGGACAACATGGGTGTGGACAGAGCTCCAGAGTTTACATGGGAAAGAGGTTCAAATAAGACCTGACTCCTTGCTGCATGTGTGTGGGAGGGTGTGTCTGTCTGTCTGTGCATTCATCCCCAGCCTTAGTCCATGGAAAGGACTGGAGGGGTCTTGGTTGGCACTACTTAGGGAGGTAGCTCTTTAAACAGTTTTCCTGGCATGTACCATATACAGAGCTGCATCTGCTTTCCAAGGCAGGAAAGCCTGAAGGGAGGAGGTGGGGGGCCACAAAGCAATCTCAGGCAGTTCTGTTGGCCAGTGACCACCAGGTTTGGGCCTGTGTCTTTCTAGATGTTGTAGTAGAAGCATATCCATGTGCACACACGAAAATGTATCTCTGAAAACCATTTTACTCTATGTAACCTGATTCTTTAGAATGACAGTTCCATGAGGATTTTTCCTATGCCAGCAAATACTGTTTTACAGCACAGTTTTCACACTGTTTTACAGCAGATTGCAGGGATGAGTTGTAATTAGTTTAGCCATACCCTGTCATCCACAGGATGCTGGCTCCTGCTTTCTAGCTGCTAAACCACACTGTTAAACATCCTCATCCGCCCAAACTTTTGAGCAGATCCGTGATCACTGCACCTAGTCTGAGGGTGTGTGCTTCTGAAAGGTGGTCAGAACAGGCTGCCACACTGCCCTGCAGAAGCCTCTTCTGTCCTCACCCACAGCATGGGGGTGTGGCTATGCTCCACATCCTCACCAGCTCAGGGAATTGTCATTCTTTTGACACTCGGCCAAATAAACATGAAGGGAAAGTGACGGAAGGTGATAGCTATCAGTGAAAACTTGGCTACTTCAGTGGTTTTGTGAGATTGAGAGGAAACTGAGACCCATCAGATCATAGCCAGTGTTCAGTAAGAATGAAATTTTTTTATTTTACTTGGTAGACATCAAATGTTTTCTTTCCCCATGAAATGTCAGAGTAATAAACGTAAGTTGCCAAATAATCAGCAAGGGTTGGGGATATCCCTAGTACTGCAGAGAGGTGCGTGCTCTATAGGCAGTCGGTCGCTTTATTTTTGTTTGCTTTGAGTGTATGATACTCATGGGCTCAACATCCACAAGGCAAGAGGGTGAGTGCTGGATCTTCCTTCTTGACTTCACTTCCTCCCTGGAGATGACCAGGACTCCAAATTCCTTCTGTGCCCCAGAATTACTTAGTATATAGGTAGGCCAGCAGGTGCATCTGTCCCCTCTAGTGGTCTCATTCTGTGTACACACCCTGCATCTTTGTTCCCCTAAGTATTGCGGAGATGAGTCTTCGTCATGTTTGAAGGGCTCCTGTGATGGACGTTTACATGAACTCCAGTCTCTTACCATGAATAACCTTGGATTTGTGCATGCAGAGAATAAACTGAGATGTTGCAAGATGTTTTTTTTTTTTTCTGAGATAGGGTCTTACTGTGTAGCCCAGGCTGGCCTTGAACCCAGAGATGCTCCTGCCTCAGCCTCCTGAGTTCTTGGAATTGAAGACATTGTTTGCCCAGTTGTCTGGGCCCATTTAGAGGCCTGTCACAGGCGGGCAGAGTAAGAAAAGCTGCTATAACTACCAGGCTGAGGAGCAGCCCTCACACATCCCCATTGGGAATGTTGCCTTATCAAACCTTAGTGGAATGGCCACTGTGTTTTGAGGGCCCATGCAGGGAGTAACAGACACCATGGGCTTGGGTTTCGGCCTTCCCACCACAAAGCTGGAGATGTCGGCTCCTTCTACCTCACCTGGACCAGTCTCTCTGCTCTAGGTGAGCAGAACCTACCTGTTCTCCAGCAGACCTTCCCAGGTCCCTGGGAGCATGAGGCAGGCAGGCAGGCCCCAGGGAGCCTGGTACCCAGAGGGCACACAGTGGCGATGCATGCCTAGCTTTCCATAGCCTCTAACCAGACAGAGTGGCAATGGGAACAACCTGAGTGGAGTTGTTCAGACTCAGGGCTAAAGGGTCAGCATCTCCTTATCTTGGTCCCCTGATTCCTTCCAGTGGCTCAGGGTGATTTCTGAAGGTGATGCTCATGCTAGAAGCACTGTGGAATGAGAGGGAGGTGGTTAAAGAATGCCTGGGATTTTAAAGTCAGAATCTCAGTACATAGCCAAGGCTGGCCTGGATCTTGTTTGTAGTCCAGAGTGGCCTGGAACTCACCATCCTGCCTCTGCCTCCTAAGTGCTGGGATCACAGGTATTTGAAGGGTTGCTTTATCCATTCTTGTGGCTGACTGTCCACCATGTCCAGCTGAGTTTTTCTCTTTTACTCTAAGAGCAGGAGGGCATAGGTGGGGCCTTGGGGAACAGCCCTCTACTTAGCCACTTCTTGGTGAAGACTTTCCTAAGTCTTGGGGCAGTAGCTGGGGGTTGTTGTTGCAGTTCACTGGAGCTATTGCCCTCTCTTCGCAGAGCCTGACAGGTCACACATCCCCTGTGGAGTGTGTCCGCCTCAACACCCCTGAGGAGCTCATCGTGGCTGGCTCTCAGTCGGGCTCCATCCGTGTCTGGGACCTGGAAGCTGCCAAAAGTAGGCCTCCCCACTTAATACCCCTTTGTGTGTTTGGGCTGTTCCTCAGGCTCAGGACATTGGACCGCTGTCTCCAGGAAGTCTTGGTGCTTTGCTCCCAGAGCACTGACCAGAGGGGGTGACACCCGTATAGCTCCATTAGCCCAGCAGCAATGGGTGTTACCATCCCCCAAGTGCTGGCATTGAGGAAGCAGCATGTACAATGTCTGCATGAACAATGGTATGTGTGTATGTATGCATATGTGTGTATTCAGAATCTGGAAGGGCTGGGTATGGTGGCACACGCCTTTCATCCCAGCACCTGGGAGGCAGAGGAAAGTGAATCTCTATGAGTTTGATGCCAGACTTGTCTACACAGTGAGTTCCAGGCCAGCTGGGGCTACAGGACGACCCTGTATTAAAAATAACAAAAACAAACAAACAAAGCCAGAACCTGGAAGGACATCAAATGCCCAGAGGTCCCTGCAGGGCATGTGGATAAGTGGGTGGCCGTGTGGGAAGGACAGTGGAGCTGAGACACATGTGCCTCAACTTGGGGTGGACGAGGGGTGTGGACCTTCTGTTTGCTTGCATTCTCTTTGTCTTCATTTAGTTTTCACACTGGCAGGAGTAACATGCTTTGAAAAGCCCAGGGTAGGTCATTCTAGCATGAACTGTGATGGAGAGAGGAAGCCTTTGCCCCTCCTTCCCATGCTCTGAGAACCTGTTTTCTGTCCCTTCCCCATCATCCCTGTTTTCCTAAACACTTAACATTATACTTACTTTTGTCTTTGAAAAACAAAACAACAACAAAAAAGGTTGGCCCTGGTGTGGTAGTGCCGCCTATAGCCCATCATTCAGGAGGCCAAGGCAAGGGAATTGCTAAGTTGAAGGCCAGCCTAGGCTATGGTGTGAAACCCTGCCACAAAAACAAAAGCAGAAAACTCCCAAATAAAGAAAAAATGGTGCACATGAAACACTGCCCTGTGCTGTGGGAGGCAGGATGTAGCTCTTTGCAGCCACCCCAGCCCCAGGCCCACTGCCCACATTTTAATTCCTGTCCTCCCAGTGTCACTATTTACATGGTCAACATTGTGTTGCAAGGACACCCCCCCCCCGCCTCCAAGTGTTTCTTTTTGTAGCTTGACTTTTTTCCCTGGAGTGAATAATTGTCCATCTTCTATCTGCATTTTTGACATCCCCATCACCACTCACCACAAAAGCTATACTAGAGAAGCCAACTCCCCGCCGCCCCAGGTCCCTCCGGTAATCCAGCTCTCTCTCAGAGTCTCTCTTCCCTGGGCTCAGTGCCTAGGAGCCATGAGGCTGCAGGCCAGCCATCACCCCTGGCCTCCTCGTCCCTGTCTCTGCTCGCCTGATCCTACGATGTTCTCTTTATTAGTTTCTTCTCATGATGGAGCCCACTCTTCGTTGCCCACTAAGAAAGGATGAAAGGATCTGGTGTGGTATCACAGGCCTGGAGTCCCAGCTAAGGCAGAGCCAAGAACATCAGAAGCTCAAGGCCCAGCCCGTTTCAAAGTCCAAGACCTAGGGATATAGATCAATGGTAGGGAGCCCTTGTTTAGCATGTATAAGGTCAAACAGCACTGAGGTCAAATGGTTGGCAGAGTGTTTGAGACCCTCCATGACTGAAAATGACCTCATTCTACCTCCATTCTTTAGAATTCAGTATAGAGTTATAGATTAGAAGTAATTTACCTTTGTGATTTTGAAGCTGTGACCCATTGCCATTTAGGTTACAGAGTTGCTATGAAAGCCTGTTCTTAAACAGGGCTTTCCCTCTCCCTCCTTCAACTTATAGGATGTCCCAGCTTCACTGCCATGAGCCCTTCTGTGAGTCTGTTCTCATCCCTGAGCCTTGAGCTCTGGATTGCAAACACAGAGGCCTGCCTTCTGCAGATGCCACCACCCAGGCTTTGTGGTTGTTATTCTGTGGCAGTGTGGTGCAGTGTTGTCAGCCCTACAAATTTGCTGGAAGAATCTGGAAATTGATGTGGAACCCCTCAGATCTGCAGTGTTTACAGCTGACTCAGCATGCTTTCCTGAGCATGACATAGGCTAGCCACAGGCAGTCTAAGTAGAGTCCTTTGCCTCTGGGTAGGAGGCCACCTGCTGAAACACAGGGGCCACAGGTCTGGCCCAGGCTGCCTTTCCCAGAGAGCTCCCAAGAGGCTCTGCTGTGGGATGGCAGCTGTTGGCCACATGCACATAGTAATAAGCTTCATTTCATTCCAAAACATTTGTATGAGTGGCCCTAAGAAAGATATTGGTGCTGGGCCTCTGGAGTGACCTCATGCTGATGGTCTGTTGAAGAACACAGAGCCCCAAGACCCCTTTGATAACAAATAGGGCTGCATGCCCTATGTCTCAGGAGAGGTCCTGCAGTCAAACCACAAGCAGGACCCAGGGCATGCTATGCTGAGCATCACTGGACTTGAGCTGCGGGGAGGAGCACTCTAGGATGGTGGACTCTGACTGAGAAGGCAGTCATTCCCCAGGAGACCTCTGCCCCAGACTGAACCCAGTGGATCCCACCACCATGACTCAGTGAAGGGCAAAAGGACCAAAGGGAGAGGCTATGGGGCCACAGTCCACCCCAGGTTTCCTTGGCTGCTGCCCTTCACCCTGGGACCAAGAGTGATTCCTGTATGGCAAGCTGGGTATGGATGGTAAAATCTGACTGGCGGGGCCTCCCATTGTGACAGATAGGCAGACTGATGCCAGCAAGGATGCTGGGCTTAGTAAAAGCCCTGAGACTGCAGATGGCAGAACCTGAAACTTGAATCCTAGTGTCAGGACTCCTGCCCCAGTGCTCTCTGCTCTCCATCTACTTCATGTTGGGGTTCTCAAGCTTGCCCTCAGAAGGGAAAGCTAGGACCTCAGGTTCACCTACACTCCATTGGCCTGAGTGTGACTGACAGTGATGAGAGGCTAAGGTACAAAGGGACTTCTGAGAGGGCCAAAACAGTACAGGAGGATTCTGGCAGAGACTGGGCAACCACTCTGTTGGGGAGGGCTTGGAGGGCCCCACATGTGTAGGCAGGCCCAAGTCCCCTCCACTTTGCAGTCCCTGGAGCCTGTGAATGAGACCAGGCATCCCCTGGGAAAGACAAGCAAGGGCAGAAGTCATGGTAGAAGAATGTGGTCCTGCCAGCTTTCTGCAGAGCAGCTGGAGGGTGAGGGTGCTCAGCCCAGCAGATCCCACAGGAAGGTGTCCACACCTAAAGAAGCCGGCCTGTATGGAGTAGGCCCTGATACAGAGTCTTGTGTCTCAGGATCCCCCTTACAGTGGTAGGAAAGTGAAAGCTGGCTGGGTTAGCATGCAGCCCAGGCTTCCTGGGCCACAGACCCTGCTTGGCCCCAAAAGCACAGGACAGTTGAAAAGCAGAGAAGACTGGGGGCTCAGTATGGGGTGCAGTTGGTTAGGACATCCACTGCACAGATGAGGCAGGTGCCTTGGCAGATTCCTCAGGCATGGGAAGGTGGCATCGTCCTAGCTGCAGTGCCTGTCAGAGACCAGGCTCCAGGGCTGGATGACAGTGAACCTGGCCTCGGGGCTGACACTACAGCAGCTCACTTCATGCTGTTCTTGCCTGGGCCTGATCTGGGCCAGTAGCTCTGTCTCTGATTTCATTTCTGAGGCCCAGGCAGAACTCAAGAGGCAGCACCTGGTCTAACTTTGGTCCTGGCCCCTGCTGTTTAGCCTCAAGCATGATGTCTCACTCTTTGAACCATCCACCCAGCTCCTGGCATGGTCACAGTGACCCTGACCTAATGTGTAGAGTCAGCCTGCTGAACACACCAGAAGCACTCATTGGATGTGCAGTGCTGAGGGAGGCACTCGGATCGCCATAGCTCTGGGTAGTACATCCTCACCGAGACACATGCTTGAGGCCTGAGGAGGAGGGCTGAAGGTCCAGAAGACAGACTGGAGGAAATGCAGGCAGGCTTCTCCAGGAAGAAACTAGAATGGAAATGATTGAAACTGGCATTTATTGAGCTCTTGGCATGTGACAGGACCACTCTAATCACTTGCTGTTTAGTTTTCATTGTAAACCAACGTGAAAGTCAGGAGGTGATTGCCTGGAGTCACACAGCAATTGAGAAGTAGAGCCAGGGACTGATCCTAGTTTTGTGTGACTCCAAGACCCATGGCCTGATGTGGATGGGTGAAGACTCAGTTACAATAAAGTTCATTCAGTTCATCTGTGCTTGGATCTTTATATTCCTGCACTTGATGTGTTGCATCTAGAGTCTTAGACACCTCTCACAACAGAGCTCACTACCTCTATAGAATGCCGTTTAAAAAATTTTATTTTATTATTTTTATTTTATGTGTTATGAGTGTATTGCCTACATGTAGGTAAGTGCACCTGTGTTGTGCAATGCCTGTGGAGGACAGAAGAGGTCATTGGATTCCTTGGAACTGGAGTTACAGACAGTTGTTAGCTGCCACGTGGGTGCTGGGATTCAAGCCCAGGTCTTCTGCAACAACAACCAGTGTTAACTGCTGAGCCATCTCTCCAGTCCCTTAAAAAAATATTTTATTATTTTTATTTTATGTGTATGAGTGTATTGTCTGTATGTGTGTAAGTGCCCCTGTGTCATGCAATGCCTGCAGAGGTCAGAAGAAGGCCTCAGATCCTCTGGAACTGAAGTAAAGAACAGTTATTAGCTGCCATGTAGGTGCTAGGAACCAAACCTAGGTCCCCTGCAAGGGCAGCCAGTGCTCTTTAGCCCCTAGAACACCCTGTTAAACCTTAACTAGACCTAAGGGTGGCTGGACTCCTCTGCCCCTTGGCCCACCACCCATGCACTGATGGACTTCAGACAGCAGAACTATAAATCTTTCAAAAAGCAAGACTGGAGACAGACTTGAGTGGTACCTGTGGTACCCTGAGACAGTGACACAGGTTTGCTCCGAGGCATACCAAACGTCAAAGGATGGAATGTATCACCATAACTGCGATAAATGATCAGTCTGCCCCTGCTGCCTCTCCCCTGAATCCTGCATTCTCACAGCTCTTCCAGTTGCCCTCAAGGTCTCCTGGTTGGGTGCTCTTCCCCTGGGCAGTGTGAGCCCCAGCATGTCCTCTCTTTGTACATAACTTTTACCTGAAAACATCCCTTGTCCTGGGTTCTTGAGCTCCCCCCCACACCCCGGTCTCTCCTGCCCTCTCGTTGGTGCTAACCTGGGGGTCATTTGCTCTGCACAAGTAGCCCTGTGGCCACATTATTTAGGCCAAGCACTGTTGTAACCACCTCTGCTGCCTCAGGCTATGATGTACACAAGTCATGGGGATGCCTTGTATTTTCTGAGGATGTGAATAGTGACAGAAATGGCTGTAGAACTGATTGTAGGGATGGTGGGGCTCAGTTTATCTGCCCTATTTTCACATCAGTGTCCCAGGTTCTGTACCAAAGGGTATGCACAGATGGGCCTGGCAGCCTTCCTCTGTTGACTCGCTTGTATTTTCACATCATTACCTCTGCTTTCTTTTGCCTGGTTAGTTCTCCGCACACTCATGGGACACAAAGCCAACATCTGCAGCCTAGATTTCCACCCCTACGGTGAATTTGTGGCCTCAGGTTCCCAGGACACAAACATTAAGGTGAGGCACCACTCGGCGCTCATCTCCCACCACACTCCGGCCTGTGTCGGGGGAGAGCCTCCCTCCCCACCCTCCTTGGTATGGAGCCCAGGGGGCTCTAGCCACTTTGACTCAGGATGCCCAGCTGGGGCAAACCTTCTAGCCTGTCTTCTCAGGACTGTCATGACTTAGAGATGTCAATCCCCTCAGCTCATGGCTGCATACTACCCTCAGGCCCAGCCTCCAGGGCTGTCATCATCTCACCTAACACCACCCTCTGCTTCTCTCCCCACAGCTCTGGGACATCAGGAGGAAAGGCTGTGTCTTCCGGTACAAGGTAAAGACAACCCCATGACTGCCATGTGGTATCAAATATAGCATGGGCCACACCACAGCAGGGCTGAGGGGCTGCAGTCCATCATGGGTGAGACTACAGAATGTGGACCTAGAATAACAGTGCTATAGGTGGTCTACCCCTAGCTTTCCACCAATCCCCAGAGCACATTTATTAAACTGTCAGACAGGTAGCTGGTGTCCCTGGGTAAGGGGGCTTTCAGTTCATGGGCATATGGCAGCACTGTGATTAACAATCATTCTCAAGAGCTTTTGGATGAGAGCAACTTAATTCTCTAAAGAGACCAAAACCACTTTCCCAGTGACACTGCAATCTTGATTTCATGGAAACCTGGGTGTCTGTGGCCACACATGGAGAAGTGTCCCTGACATCTCTCAGTGGTAGCCATCTGTCATCTCTCTGGCCCCAGGAAGGCCCTTTGTGTTAGGACAGGCAGAGGGGTTGGGGAGATGCTGTGGGGCCAGGCCCCTCTAGTGAGCTTGATGTTCTCTTCCTCAGGGGCACAGCCAGGCTGTGCGGTGTCTCCGGTTCAGCCCTGATGGGAAGTGGCTTGCATCAGCCGCAGATGACCACACAGTGAAGGTAACGCCAGCATGCAAGCTGGGGCCAGGAGTCTGCTGATCACACCCAGGTTGCATCCTCACCTCCCTGCTGAGTGGGCTTATGGTTCAGAGTGGTGAGGGAGCTCAGGCCCCCAGCCAGTTCCCTAGCCTGACCCTTAACCTCCTCCCACCTTGCCCCAGCTGTGGGATCTGACTGCTGGCAAGATGATGTCTGAGTTCCCTGGTCACACCGGGCCTGTCAACGTGGTGGAATTTCACCCCAACGAGTACCTCTTAGCTTCTGGCAGCTCTGACAGGTGAGAAGGAGCATATTGCTTGCCTGCACCGGCTCCTGTCCAGTCATATGCTGAGGAGCCTGTGCAGACTAAATTTTAGCCAGGATTGGTTCCTGGTGCCCCAGGCCTGTCCTTTCCTGTCCTGTCAGGATCCAACCCCTCTGTGGGGGCACAGTGTAGAGAGGCCCCTTGCTTATGGGGCCAGCCCTGGAGTAGGGTCATCAGGTACAGCCCGAGACATATTTAACACCCTCTCCACCTGCACAGAGCTAGTACCTCCCACAGACATTGCTCCTAGTGGCCCTGGCGGGGGGAGGGTTTAGGAGAGGCCAGGGTCAGCAGGGGGACTGGCCTCCTGTGGCTACTTTGCAGGACAATCCGCTTCTGGGACCTGGAGAAGTTTCAGGTGGTGAGCTGCATTGAAGGGGAGCCAGGGCCAGTCAGGTACTCATGGGTTCCCTGTCCCTCCACCAGGCAACAGGATGTGGGTGTGCATGGGCTTTCCTACCTCTACTTCTGCTTCCTCTCTGTCCTGGGGTTACCTGCTTTCTTGGGGTGGGGTATGGGCTAGGTGAGCTGGGACCCACAGCTAACTCTCACCTGGCCCAGGAGCGTCCTCTTCAACCCTGATGGCTGCTGCCTGTATAGTGGCTGCCAGGACTCACTGCGTGTCTATGGCTGGGAGCCTGAACGCTGCTTTGATGTGGTCCTTGTCAACTGGGGCAAGGTGGCTGATCTGGCCATCTGCAATGACCAGCTGGTGAGGGCAGAGTCACCCACTACCTACCCTTCGCCTTAAGCCCCAACCCACTGGACCTGGTAGGGTCTTGCCCCACCCCACCCCGATCCCAGCTCTGCTGGTTTCTGCAGATAGGTGTGGCCTTCTCCCAGAGCAATGTCTCCTCTTATGTGGTGGACCTGACTCGAGTTACCAGGACAGGTACAGTGGCCCAGGATCCTGTGCAGGACAGCCAGCCTCTGACACAACAGCCCTCCAACCCTGGTGTTTCCCTCCGGCGCATCTATGAGCGGCCCAGCACAACATGCAGCAAGCCTCAGAGGTGGGTGCGTGAGGCCCTGGCAGTGTGGTAGGCTCGTCCCTGGGCACCCAGCTCCAGGCTTTGCTGAGGACCCTGGCCTCCTCTGTTTGGCCCTGCACCCCCAGGGTAAAGCACAACTCGGAGAGTGAACGGCGCAGTCCCAGCAGCGAGGACGATCGGGATGAGAGGGAGTCCCGGGCTGAGATCCAGAATGCTGAGGACTACAATGAGATCTTCCAGCCCAAGAAGAGCATCAGTGAGGCTGCCCTCCCTCCCACTCTGGAACCCAGCCCCCTCTGTCAGAGATGAAGGCCTTGCTATGGCTCTGTCCCCCAGGCCCTACCTGATCTTCATGCTCTCTGCCCTTGTCCTCTGGGCATTGCTGAGCTGAGCTCCCAGAGGACTGAAAGCAGGAACCTGGGCACTCCCAGCAGAGGTCCAGTATCCACTCAGTTGCCCTGCCCTGAACTTAGCAAAGGGAGGACCCATAGTGCAAGTAGGTTAATGAGGCCAGAGACAGAATCACAAGCCTGGGAACCACCTTCCAGCCATACATCCTGACTGGGCCTGGGCTCAGGCCCAGAGAGTTAACAGGTAGCCCAAGTATCAGCCCCCTTTGCCTTGGCAGGTCGGACACCACCTCGGAGAAGTGAGCCCTTCCCAGCACCCCCAGAAGATGGTGAGTGCCCAGCTTCTGAGGACCAGGCTTTACCTCTCCTGGCCCACTCCACTGGCCTACCCCATCTGATCTTGTCCCTCTACCCACCCAGAAGTGCCTGCCATGTGCCTGACCCCAGCAAGGCCCCAGAGGCAGCATGAGCAAAGCAGGCATTTGCTTCTTTCTAGCCCATGCCCAGGTGCATAGAAAGAAACAGGCACCCGTAGGTGGGCCTGCCTCTGGTTTGTGTGCTACTGAGGACAGGTTACTGGGTCCACTGGAGATCAGGGCATGGGACTTCGGTAGGCTAGTGAACAGAGGGAGGGAAGAACTAGGGTTGGGGGGAAACCAACTGATTGTCAGGTCCCAGACCTGGAGCAGGAGCCAGAGAGGCAAGTTGGAGGCCAGAGCCAGAAGGCCCTGGCTGAGAGTTTACAACTTGGGAAATGAACATTCTAATCTTTGGAATGGAAAAGGTGGGCCCTTCATCCTCCATAGCATCCCATCCACATGCATCAAAGGACAGCCCCTACCTCAGTTCTCCAGGACCCCCACCTGCTGATGGTCTCCCTGCTCCCACTTCCTGGCTCTGTCCCAGTCACAGATGCATGTGTCTTGCCCTCTTCCCACCAGACCCTTCTGGTCTGACAACAGGCTTCTCCTTTTGCTTCTAGACACAGCCACAGCAAAGGAAGCCTCCAAGCCCAGCCCAGCCACGGATGTGCAGTTGCCGGTGCCAAATGTATGTCTGAGCAGAGAGGGCATCCTATAGGCCTAAGCCAGGGTTGGGACCTCCCTGTCAGGAGCTGAGGGAGGCCCCAGGCTGGTGCCAGCTCAGCCTCTGACCCCTGCAGCTTGAGGTCCCAGCCCAGCCTCCAGTCATGGCCTCCACTCCTGCACCCAAGGGTGAGCCTGCCATCATCCCTGCCACAAGGAATGAGCCCATTGGGCTAAAAGCCTCCGACTTCCTGCCTGTGAGTGGGACTTGTCCAAGATGTGGGGTGGAGGACTAAAAAGAGAAGGGTGGGGTTGTGCTGCCTGCCCCATGCTAGCATCTGGGTGCCCTCCTGTAGGCTGTGAAGATCCCCCAGCAGGCAGAGCTGGTGGATGAGGATGCCATGTCACAGATACGTAAAGGCCATGACACCATGTGTGTGGTGCTCACCAGCCGCCACAAGAACCTGGACACTGTGCGTGCCGTGTGGACCACAGGTGACATTAAGGTGAGGGCTACTCCTTCATCCTGCTGCCTGAGCTTCAAGCTGAACAGAGAAGTGGCCACACAGTGGAGTCCTGGGGGTATGGCAAGCTTCCATCAGTTGAGCACCAATTTCAGGTTGGGCCTTGCCCTCCTTGTTGGTGCAGTCCTTTAACATGCCCTTAACCTTGCCCACACCCACCCCATCCCCACTGCTCATGGAGCTCTGTTTGCAGACATCAGTGGACTCTGCTGTAGCGATCAATGACCTGTCTGTAGTGGTGGACCTCCTAAACATTGTCAACCAGAAAGCGTAAGTGGCCTCAAGGGGAGGGGAAGAATGGGGTGGACAGGGCTGGCCTGATGGCACTGCGCCCTGCCCTCTCCCCAGCTCCCTGTGGAAGCTGGACCTGTGTACCACAGTGCTGCCACAGATCGAGAAACTTCTGCAGAGCAAGTATGAAAGGTAGGGAGCCCTGCCTGCCTACAGCAAGTAGGAGCCCAGGGACGCACTTGCGCACTTCTGCTTCACCTATGGAGAATCCTCCTCTCCTTGTCCTCTCTGGCTCTGGGTCCGTCTGTGCATGATTCCATCCATTTTGCTTCTGAAGCTATGTCCAGACTGGGTGCACCTCCCTGAAGCTGATCCTGCAGCGGTTTCTGCCTCTCATCACAGACATCTTGGCAGCCCCGCCCTCTGTGGGTGTGGACATCAGCCGGGAGGAGAGGTGAGGGATGCGGTACTTGCTGTTCTAGGCCTTACATGCAGATGGCTATGCCCAAACAGCCTATAGAGAGGGCACTGCCTGGGCAGTGGCTCAAGATATGGGGTGGGCACAGCCAGAGGCTGGGTTCCTCCATGGCCTTGCTGTGACCCTACATCCTGGCATGGATTGGGTCCCATGCTCTTGGGGGGGTGGCGCTGGAGCTATCTTAGGCCTGGTGGGGTCATGGTCGGGGGGGCTGGCCCCATCCTTAGGTGCTGCCTCTCTGCCTGCAGGCTACACAAGTGCCGACTCTGCTACAAACAGCTCAAGAGCATCAGCGGCCTTGTCAAGAGCAAGTCAGGCCTGAGTGGCCGCCATGGCAGTGCCTTCCGTGAACTGCACCTACTCATGGCCAGTTTGGACTGAGAAACTCATTGGGTGGGGGTACAGTGGCCCTCACTGGCCTTGGCCCCCCACTCCTGTTCCCTGTGCGCCCACCGGCCCACGAGCCTCGCCTGGTCACCCCTGCTGCCCTGGCAGCCATCCTGGAGGCAGCATTGCCAACCCATTGGCCACCTCCACAGCCAAGGATTGAACTTCCTCTCCAGCAGTGGCTACACAGCCTTGCTTAGCCCTTGCTTCCCAGGGCAACAACTCCAGCCCCGGAGCTGCTGCTGTAATTTATCAGGCAGATTTATTAAATTTATAACTGTTCCCGACTTCCTTGTGAGGGGCATAGCCTCTGGGGCACACCTGGCTCTCCAAGGCCAGCAGGGGACAGCACAGTGCCAGGTGTGCAGGAAGGGCCTGTACAGTAAAGGGTCAGCTTTACTCTGGAGAAGGGGAGGCTGGGGCTACTGCTATCTCAGCCACACTCCCAGTTGTCCTTGGGTCCCTGTGAGGCCAGCAGGTGTAGCCTCCCATCTGGCCACCACTTAGCTGGTTCAGAGCCTGTCACTTTCCTCTCTGATAGCTTGAGGACTGAACTAGGATGGCTGCATGACCTTGAGGGGCTTTAAATGGCTTTCACTGTCCACAGGATCATCTGTGCTGGCTCACCCCAGCCCTGGCAGTATCCCTGAGGGTCTGCCCTCGAGGACAGCTGTCGGTGTGGCCATCAAGGAGGGAAGAGTTTTTGCAGACACTTGTTTGCCAAGGTTGGGATCAGGTACAAAATGGCACAGGTGGGGAGTGTGATCTTCATTAGTGGCCATGGTTCCAAAGACAGTAGGCAGGGACAGCCAGCAGAGAGCATGCACAGTGGAACCAGGCAGTGGGAGTGGCTGCCCAGGTGTGGTATAGGCAAACCTGACAGGTCTTTGAAGCCCCACCCCCCGAGCTGTAGCTTCTCATCTGTAACAGGTGACATTACTGTGGGATGGGACAGTTGTTACATGCACATAGTAGGTATTTCAAAAGGGAAGTTATGACCAAAATAATATAAGAGGTATGGGGACAGTAAGGACTTCTGGCCCCCAGTGGTAGATATGTGGTCTTTAAGGCAATTCCTAGAGGTTTCACGTGGTTGGTCAACCAGCCATGGAAAACAATAGGACATACCAATATTCCCTCTCCATGATCACCTACAGGGGCTTCCAATACCAATGATTTCAGACTATGTTTGTGTAAAAAGAGTTTAATAAGTAAAAATGGCTAAGATTCCAAAAGTTCTTAAATAGGATTTGAGGGGCAGGAACATGTTGCAAAGTCAATGGACAGGGATAGTGCCTGGTGCCAGGCAGATGGGAAACAACCCTACCCACTGGCTTCTGCCAGCCATAAATATAGCCCAACCCCTGACAGAGTGGGCTCCTATATACACCTTGGAACACTATGTACACACCCAGCCTCAGGATCTGGTTCTCAAGAGGGGAACAGGTAGAGATGCTCCTGCTTCCCACCAACCCAGCTGGCTCCTGTACCTTCCTGGAGGCTCCTCAGTCCTTCTAATAGGAGGAGCCACTGGGCCCCTAAGCTAGATGAGGAGTGAGCCCAGAGGAGAGGCCCACCCTCCCCAAAGGCCCGGCTCCCATGGTCTCAGCCTACCAGGCAGACCACCATCCCTGCCTTCCAGCCCATGCTGTGGTGCCCAGAGCCACACACAGACTCGCTTCCTTCTGAACATGTTTCATCTCTGAGAGGCAGGAAAGCCTCCATCTCCTGCGTTCCTGGTGGGCACTGCAGCAGGAGCAGGTAGCCAGGCCTTGGGGCCCGGCTCCATGCCTGGCAGCATGGCACATCCTCATACAGGCACTGGCCTCAACTTCCCTGAAAAAGGGGAAGGGAGCTGTTAGCCTCTTGTTACAGGAGCCATGCCCACAGCAGATGCAAGAGCAGGAGGCCAGCAGAAGCACACAGACAGCAGGCAGTGGAGGGCAGGCTCAGCCCTGTGCAGCTGAGCCCCGATAGAGCCCTGCAACCCACAGCGGGCAGCAGGCAGGCAGCCCCAGGCCGCTGGCCCACACTCACCTGGAGAATGTAGCCCCAGCCGTCAGGCTGAAATCAAATTGATAGGCATCTCATTGGGGGCTTGCTCCAGCCAGGGCCCCGATGTCACCACCACCCCTTTGGACCCAATGACTGACCAGGTCCCCAAGTAGGTCACAGCCCTATGGTAAGGGCCCTCTGTGTGGTGTGTATGTGTGTGTCCTATTTTGTGGGGAGTACTGCAGAGTTTAGGTAATGTAGCTTCTAAGATTCAGTCTGAGCTTTGAGTTGGTAGCCCCAGCTAGGAGGCCCCAGGGCCTCTTCAGAGGCTTCGATTTCCCATAGTAAAACAGACAGTACTGCCTGCTCTGGCTCCTGGGTCTGGGATTAGTGTGGCCAGGGCAGGGGAGGGGGAGACAGGTTCTATGCATGTTTTTATGGTGCCATGGATGGAACTTGGGGCTTCACACATGCTAGGCATGCAGCTTCCCTTCTGGGGGAATAGGGTTTGAGACTCGCAATGTAACCTTCACGGGCCTAGAACTCATTATGTAGACCAGGCTAACCCAGAACTCATTATGTAGACCAGGCTAACCTAGAACTCAGGGATGGATCTTCCTCCCAAATGCCATGATTACAGGCACAGGCCACCATACCTGACTTGACCTTTTAAAAATTTTGACTATGTTGACCAGCCTGGCCTCAAACTAACAATCCTGCTTCAGCCTCCCAAGTACTGATTACAGGTGTCGACTACTAGGCCTGGCTCATGGGGCTTTTTCTTATTCTTTGAAAAACAGCTTATCTAGGAAAGGGCAGCCTGGCACTGTTACTCAAGTGGGAAAGGCTTGCCCTCCCACCCAGTCCACTCCTGGTAGGCTCACCCGATGGCTGCAGCTTCCTTCGGATGGAACCAGGGCGGCTACTGGTCCCAGAGCCAGGGGCAGAATGGGCTCGTGTAGCTGGCTGCAGTGTCTGGCAAGCCGGCTCCCACTGTGAACAGAGAATGTAGGTGGGCTGGGGGGGCCAAGGCTGCCCTGGCTCCTCCCCTCCACCCGTCACAGTTCTCTCTTAAGTTTCCTCTTTGCAGAGGGGACTGATGACACTTCTGCCTTGAGGAATCACAGCCCAGGAATCAAATACAGTCTGTGAAGGACAAAATTAGCTTGTATTGGACACCTACCATGGGCTTAGGTGGCCACTGCTGGACCAAGAGGAATGATGGCCTAAAGGGGCATGCGGTTCTAGCCTTAGCCACCTTTGTGGCAGCTTCCTCCACTACCACAGCATCTGTCCACCCCTACCCAGTGCCAGCCTGAGTCAGGCTCACAGTGGCCCCCACCTCCAGATGCTCCTGGCTTGACCAGGAGCCCAGCTCTGTGCGGCGGGACCCTGGACCCAACTCCACGGAGCGCACCCTCTCTGCAAACTTGAGGGAGTACAGTGTCTCACTGGTGTTCTTCTCCACTGGGGACACCTGGGAACAGAGAGCTCAGGTCCAACTCAGGCCCAAGCCAGAGGAGGCAGCACAGTAACCAGAGGGTGCTCCCAGCATGGAGAGACCACTGAGGGGCAATGAAGGTGGCGGAAGGCCAGAGACATGCGAGGGACTTGTGCACTGCACAGGATGCATTAGCCAGATCCATGTGGGGGCTTGCCACAGCTGACAGTCTGGGACCCCCCCCCCCGACACTGGGCCACCCTTGGCCCCCAGGCCCTCACCTGCACCACCATGAGCGTTTTGCTGTCACCACTGAGTGAGTCCTGCAGCAGGTAGGTGAGCTTGGAGTTTCGGAAGGGCACATGGCCTTGACGGGAGCGCAGGGCAGCAATGACATCCCCCAGGGCAGACAGCGACCTGTTGATGTGCTGGGCCTCCCGAAGGCGGCTCCCTTCAGCCCCGGACTTGCCCACACGCTCTGAGCCAGCCAGGTCTACCAGGTTCAGCTTCCCTGTGGGTAGGGCATGAGGCAGGTCAGGGCTGCCCAAGAGGTTCCTATGGGGTGCTTGGCCAGGCTGCCCGCTGTGCCCTCACCCGTGGTGCGGAGGCCCGTGCTGCAGTCCACGCCACGCACTGTCACGATGAGCAGGGCATGCGAGCGGGAGCTATGCTCGTTCAGGTTGGTGAACTCTGTGGTGCGGTTGGTATAGCCAAACTCAAATACCTGTGAACAAAGGCTAGTTGAGATTGGGGGCTCCTTGGGAAGGGTAATGCTGCCCAGTGCATTTTATTTATGCACAAGTTTCCATTTATTTTATTTTGTCTCACTATGTAGCCCTGGCTGGCCTGGAACTCACAGAGATCTGCCTGCCTCTGCCTCCCAAGTGCTGGGATTGTAGCCCTGGCTGGCCTGGAACTCACAGAGATCTGCCTGCCTCTGCCTCTCAAGTGCTGGGATTAAAGGTGTGTGCCATCCCGCCTAGCTACACTTCGGTTTTTTGAGACAGGCCCTTGCTATGTAGTCAGGCAGGTCTCAGACGCACAATCCTCTTGCCTCAGCCTCTGAGGATTGGGATTTCAGGTGTGTGCCCATGCCTGCCTCAATTTCTGCATTTCAGATGAGGAAACAGACTCAGAGGGGCACAGGGACTTGCGTGAACTGTACACTCAGGTAGTGGCAGAGCCCACATTTAAGCCTGTTTTGTCTAGAGCAGCTCTACCTGTTGCTGAGTTCTCCCAGCATTTCCCTGGTGACCCCTCACCTTGTTGATGTCATCCACGCTCTGCACTTGAAACTCGGTCAGCCCAGGCACATACAGCTGCCCGCTGCCATCTGGGCACAGTCGGATCTCCAGCTTCTCCTGAGGCTCTTTCCCCAGCAGGTCTCTGGAGGGGTGAGTGGGTATTACTTCCCCCTCCCATTTCTCATCTCTACACTGCAGCCAACCCCCAGCCTGGAATCTGCCCCCACAGTCCCACTTACTTGGACCATAGGGTTAAGCTGTCCTCTCCTTTTCCCCCAGTCCCTGTTCCTCCCAAGCACTCAGAAGGGAGAAAGACTTCCCCAGAAGTCATAAGGATGGTACCCTCTGTATGGGGAGAGCTCCCCATACTCATTCTTACCCCTACCCAGGGCAATGGGGCCCACAGCAGGGTCCCAGCTCAGGGAGGATGCACCTCCTAAATGTGGGGCAAAGCTCTTCCTAGCCTCATCTAGAACCTCGTCTCTGAGACCCAGAAGACCTCCCCATGGCCCCCACATGGCTCTGACCAGGGCCTACCTGAGGGCCTCATTGTAAATCTCGGCTGCACTGACAGTGATGTTGTACTGCCAATCAGATGCCTTCTCCTGTACCTCTGAGAAGAGCAGCTGCAGGGCCCGCTGGTTAATGCCTGGGTTCTCCGGGGTTCCCTGAGGGCAGAAGGAAAGATCCAGTGACCCTGCAGAAACCCAGTCTGTGCCACTCCATGCCCTTGGGTACTGTACTGGTGAGCCTCCCTGCTGCATGCTGGGCTGCTTTCAGAACACCCTCTACCAGGTATAAACAAGTTTCCCTACCTTTGAGGTAGCATCACCCTGCCAGGACAGCAGAGAGACTGGAGAAACAGTGGGACGAAGGGGGGCACAGGCCTGCCCACCCCTGCTGAGCACCACACAATTGTGTGGTCTACTAGGCTTCTTGGGAGGGGCAATGAAAATGAATTCCTACCTACAGCCCCCCAAGGATGCTCTCTGCCAGGAGCCAGCTTCTGTAGGTACTTGAGGATAGGCAGAGGTGGAAAAGGCAAGTGCCTGGGTGGGATGGGATGGTCACCTTTCAGAAGAAATCTGGAGCCCCCCTGAAGGTACCTCTCACCCAATACCTGCATTAGAACTACCTCCTGGGCCTTAAGTGTGCTAGCTGCTGGGCATGCTCCATGGCCCTGCAGGTCCCTCTGCCTGAAGTGCTCTTTCAGATAGTTTGGGCTGGCTAAGGCAGCCCCCAGCTCCCTGGGGGTCTGTTCCTGTAGGTACCCCATCCCTCATCCTGGTTTTGCTAGCCTTCCTGGTACTGGATGGAACCTACTAAATTGCTGTGTCAGACTGGGCATCTCCTCCCTGGGACATGGATTTTTCTGTCACCACAGGGTTTCCTCAGGCCTCAGAGCTCAGAGAATGGACCTGAATTCTACAGAGCCCAGGGTAGAGCTGGATGCTCAGGAGCTACTGTCAACCCCCTTTACCATTCAACTCTCCTGCCCTGACCTGCTAACCAGTCTCCTTAGCTCCAAAACTGAGGGCACAGAGATTGGGAGATGAGGCAGGGGCTGCCACAGCAAGTGCCCAGAGGTGCTCAATGGCCTCACCAGCAGGGCCCAACAAACCTTCGTTCTCTCTCTCTTTTTTTTTTTTTTGGTCTTTTTTTGAGACAGCGTCTCCCTGTAGCCCCAGCTGGCCTGGAGCTTGCTATGTAGATCAAGCTGGTCTTGAACTCACAGAGATTCGCCTGCCTCTGCCTCCCAAGTGCTAGGATTAAAGGCATGTGCCACCATGCCTTGCAAGTCCTCACAGAGATTCACTTGCCTCTGCTTCCCAAGTGCTAGGATTAAAGGCATGTGCCACCATGCCTTGCAAGTCCTCACAGAGATTCACTTGCCTCTGCTTCCCAAGTGCTAGGATCAAAGGTGTGCACCACCACACCCAGCAAATCCTCATTCTTGTACCTGCCCTAAGTGGGGGAGTTCATAGCACCCCCTAGGGAACTGGGAAAGCTACTAACAAAACAGTGCCCCAGTCATTCTGATGCCTGCTCCCACTCCCTGATTCATTCTCCCTGATGCCTTGTCCCACTGACAAGGGACTGGCTGTAAGAGGAAGATAAAGCACTGCTCTGAGAGCTAGGCTTCCACAAATACAGTGATGTACCAGGCTCTCCCAAGGCCCAGGATCTCTCTGAGGGCTGACACCCAATCTCATTCAACCCAGTATCCCTGGAATCTTCCAGCCCAGCCTGGCAGCCACACTGCAGGAGAGAGCTTGGGGAATGTGTGCAGGAAAGGCCTGGCCTGGCCTAGCTTCTGACCTGGGTCAAGAGCCCTCTGATGGTCTGCTCTCCTCATACTGCCCTCTCCAAGTTCTGCAAGCCCACTCGGCAGGCTCTTAGGCAAAGTAGTCTTTAGGCTTCGTACTTTGAAGCCAACATGGGAATGACAGCCTCTGCCTCCAGGGTGGTTGTGAAGACATAGCAAAACACGTACTGTGCAAAACCCCAACACCATGGAGGAAAGCTGGAGCCCTAAGCCCTCCCCTCTGGTGGGCACCCACCTCCACAGTGTACGTCTCCTAAGTCCTCCCCTCTGGTGGGCACCCACCTCCACAGTGTATGTCTCCTAAGCCCTCCCCTCTGGTGGGCACCCACCTCCATGGTGTATGTCTTCCCGGCACCTGTCTGGCCGTAGGCAAAGATGCAGACATTGAAGCCATCGATGCAAGAGGTGATGAGAGCTTGCACTTCTTGGAAGACCTGGGGGGACATGAGGCAGAGACTGAGGGGCTTCCAGTGCTGTTACCATGTGGTGCCTGGAAACTCCAAGTTCAGCCACCTCCCAGCTCACTGTACAGGATTTGTCCATGGATGTCAGCACAGGGCTTCAGGCCCAACTCCACCTCACCTACTCTCAGGGAGGACTTGGCCAAACACAGCAAAGGCCAACTTGTGCCTGGCATGTTCTCTGGCTTGCCTGACCCCTGGTGGGACAGAGCAAACATAGGGCCAGAGATGCCTGCAAGTGTGGCCCTGGGTAGCTAAGAGGAAAGTGAAGCTGAGACTCCCCACCATCCCCCCTTCATGGCGCTGGGGACTGGGAACAATGGGGAGGTCTAGCAAGCCCCATGGGACTGCTACAGGAAAGGAACTCTGGGTCCTGAGACTATCCTCCAGGCCCAGTCACTGGTGGTGAGACCTTGAAGTAGGAGGAGCCATGTGGGTGGGCAGGACTACCGTCTCTTGGTAAAGCAGGCTCTGTGTGGATCTCCTTTCCTGAGCTTTCTGAGGCCTCCAACAGTGCCTTCCTACCCTCTTCACTCTTTCCAAGGGAAGATAGGAGGGACTCATGTTCCTCCACTCTGTCCTAGACTCAGAGCTGTTTTTTGTTGCTGCTGCTGTTGTTTTGAAACAGGGTCTGGCCTTGATCTCACAGAGATTCGCCTACCTCTTCTGGGATTAAAGGCATGTGCCACTATGCCTGACCAGACTCAGATGTTTTTGTGTAGCCTTGTGGTCCCCCCTCAACCCCCCTCCCCCACAACCTCCTCGTTCCTTCTTCTGCTGCTCTTTCATTTCCCTGAAAATTCCTTGCCCACTTACATCCTGCTGTGAGGCCCATGGGGAGAAGACCTTGTCCAGCTCGAAGGACACAGGCTTGCCCTTGTGCAGCAGGTGAATGATGGAGTCATCATCAGGATCAAAGGTCACAGCATTGGTAGCCTCAGGTCCTTCCCCATCCTCCTTAGTAACTGGCCGGACACGTGCGATCACCCGGATGTTTCCTGATTTGGTTGAAGGTAGAGAGATGGGGTGGTTTAACACTAGACTGCCATCTTGGGCAGTCTAGTGGCCCAGGAGTTCCCTGTTTTTTAAGCCATGGCCGGGGGCAAGGTATTAGTCACTCACACTACTATATGAATTCATTTAGTACATTTTCTTTCTGGGCAGACAAGTTCAGGGCGAGAGTTTGGCCTTGTGAGGTTTAGGTACTGCAAGTCAGTCTTGGTGACACCAAAACGGACACTTTCTGTCTGTGGACTTGTTCCCTCATCCATTATGCTCAAGGAGGAGCTTGGACTCCATGAACCAAAGAACTTACTCTTTTTTTCTTTTTTTTTTGTCTTTTTGAGACAGGGTCTCCCGGTAGCCCCCAGCTGTCCTGGAATGCACTGTGTAGACCAGGCTGGCCTTGAACTCATAGTGATCCACCCATCTCTGCCTCCCAAGTGCTGGGACTACAGGCATGCGCCACCGCACCTGGCTACTCTATCATTTTAAATGGCACTGAACGGGCAAGTAGGACGAAGCAGCAGAAAGGTGACTGGCAGTATGTCCACGGGCAGAGACAGTGGGGTACCCACAGGCATGCTTCCAGCTCTTTGGTGGAATCCCTGTGTCCCCTGGCAGGACCCTGCCTTTACTCCCTCTCCACGCGGTAGCTCCGCCTCAAGAAGCCCCTGGCGCCTCTGGTGATGGGACAGTACAGGGTTCTCTAGATGACTGGTGATCACTAGCCCTTCTCCCAGTCAATGTGAGTATGGCAAGGGCTGGGAGTGGGGACGTGGCCGACTTCCCAGTATCTGGAGTGGCATCTGGCACAGAGCATGTACTTCCTAGAGTTAGTGCAGAGATCAGTGAAGCCTCAGGTTTCCAGGCCCCGGGTTGGAACAGATGACATGCCAATTATCACTGCACACTGCTCCCCATACCCTGCAGGCATGGGAGGAACCTGCCATGGACAAGGAGCTTTGGAAATGATCCAAATACAAATCCAAGGTGAACCATTACTAGTTGTGACTCCTCTGGGCCCCTGAATCCCTGTCTGCAGTGAGGGTGGCTCTGCAGTGGCTGTTGTGCAGCCAAGAACTCTTACCCTTCAGCCTCACCAGCTCATTGTGGCACTTCTTGCGTAGCTGCAGCTCTCGGCGGTACTTGCGCAGCAGCTCCTGGTTGTTGCTGTTGACCTCCTCGATGGCCTGGCCGATCTGGAGGGCATGTACACCACTGTCAGCCTCCCTTCACCCCTGATGGTGCTGTTCCCACCTGCCCAGGCTGAGTACTTGACACAAACTATCATAACAGATGAACTTTTCCCAATAACCTTCTTGGGAAGTAAGGCCAGTGTCCACATTTCACAGATGAGTCTAGAGAGCCTGAGAGTAAGCAGACCCAGGCCTTGAGCACCTGACTACAACCTGAGTCAGTTGCACTCAAATCTAACCCTACCCTAGGAGTTGGGGATGTGGGACAAGTGGCCCCAGCCTTGGTTTTTCTCATATATCATCTAACTCATGAGAGTCTGAAGAGGGTGATGGGTAAAGGGCTCCATGTCACATTTCAGAGAGGAGAAAGCCGCATGTTCCCTGTGTGGGGTAAAGGGAAAGATAGCTACTAAGCCATTCATGAGCCTAACAAGGCCCACAACACCCTGGGGACATTCCAGGATCTGCTAGATTTGACTCTCTGCATTACTGGATGGAATTCTTAAGGGTTTTTTGACTGATTTATTTATATTTTATGTGTATGAGTCCTTTGTCTGCACGTATAAAAGTGTACCTATGTTGTGCAATGCCTACAGAGACCAGAAGAAGGCATCAGATCCCCTGGAATTGGCCTTATGGACCTCTGTTAGCCACCATGTGGGTGTTGGGAACCAAACTCAGGTCCTCTGCAAGAGCAGCCAGTGCTCTTAAGCACAGAGCCAGCTCTCCAGCTTCATTACTGACAAAATTCTCTTTTTTTAAAAGCCCAGCTGGCCTCTCTATGTAAACCATGCTGGCCTGGACCTTACAGAGATCTGCCTGCCTCTGCCTCCTGAGTGCTGGGATTAAAGGTGTGCACTACCACACCCGGCCCTGACAAAATTCTTTAAAGAGCTATTTTCTATTCCCAAAATATATTTGTCTCTATAGAGCTGCCATATGAACTTGAGGAGCCAGCAACTATAAAAGGCTTAGCACATGGGAGGCACTTAAGAGAAACTGGCTATTCTCACCACTGTGTGAGAGTGACTTTAAAAAACAAAGTGAGGACCTGGGGATGATAGTCAAAGTACCCAGTCACCTTCCCTCAGAGCCTAGCAGGTATGAAACCCTGGGCTCCAACCCTAGTGTAGAAAGAAGAGGAAGAAGAGGTGGAAGAAGAGGAAGAGGAAGAGGAGGAAGAAATGGAAACCAAACAATTAAATACATCAAGCTAGGCATGGTGATCAAGACCTATAATTACAATGCTCAGGAGGTTGAGGCAGGAGAATATCGAGTTCACAGCCAGCCTAGGCTATGTAGTAAGACCCTGTCTCCAATAATAATTTTCTATAACAGCATAGAGGGGGAGGGCGCTAGAGAGATGGGTCAGCTGTTAGAGCGATTGCTGCTCTTGCAGTGGACCTGAGTTTGGTTCCCAGCATGTATGTCAGGTGGTTCATAACCACTTGTAACTCTAGCTCCAGGGATCCAACACCATGGATACAAGCACTCACATACGTGTGTACACGCACACACACAATTAAAAATAAATCTTTAAAAAATAGCTGTAAATGCCAGGTGTGGTGGTGCATGTCATTAGTCCCAGTCCTCAGGAGGCAGAGGCACGTGGTTCAAGGCCAGCCAGTTGTACATAGTAAGCTCCAGGCCAACTGGGGCTACAGGGAGACCCTGTCTCAAAAAGACCAAAAAAAAAAAAAAAAAAAGCTAAAAGGGACCCATAACATGGATGGGATATAGGGGGGGAACGTGTGTGGGCACTCTGACAGTTACATTTTTGGGGAGCCA